TAAAAAATATTTGTATAAATAATGACTTAACACTGTTTTGTTCCTGATTTAAATATGCGAAGAGCAATTTGACTGAAAACAGATTTTTCTTCTTGAGCACCCCTGGTTTAACACACCCAAATATATGATGTTCTTGTTGTTCTCAAGCCAAAAGTGTGCCTGACAATTGTCTCGGTCTCTGCCGCAGCCGCTGCTCCTGCCATTGCCGGCGCACGCAGGCCGGTTGACAACGAGAGCTGTTACAATGCTCAAAACATACATAAAATTAATTTCCAACCAGACTTTCACAGCTTAACACCGCCATCGACAGGATTTGGAAGTTTAGTTCCTTATAAATTTCCGAGAGTGTTCGTTTGTTGTCGGCAAAACGCGCGCTTGCAAAGAAAATAGAAAAAATTGAAACCGAAACGGCAAATATTCAATTTGTAGCATAGCACATAGCAAAAAGCCAGTATACTTTTGGGCGCGGCAAGCAAGCAAATTGGAAAAAAATTCAACAGCACAAATTCAACAGAAAATAAATTTTTTACCAAAACTAAAAGCAAATTCTTTCCACAAGGAAAATATTTACTTTAAATTTATTTAACAAATAATTCAAAGCGCACAAAAGCAAGAAAAATCAAAGCAGACGCACAAATCAAAACCAGAGTCTTTTTTACAAGCAGACAAAACAAATTCTATAGTTGTGAATTTTCAAGATAAAAACGCAGAAAAAAACATAAAACAATTTTTGAAAACGTCCTTATAAAAGAAAACCAACGAATCGTAATAGAAAACTAAAAAAGAAAAAACCAAACAAACAAATATTGTGAGAAAAAACAAAACGAAACTATATTTTGCATAAACTTTTTTACAATACAAAAAATCATTAGCATAGAAAAAGATATAAACGTCTTTGAAACGGCAAAATCGTTCATACAACCCACCACCACCCATCAACCAACCAACCACTCTACTACTATTAGTACTCTTAATTATAACTACACTTTACTACAACTCTGTGGGCCATCATCAGCAGCAGCAGCAGCAACAACAGGACGAAAAAATAACCGAAAAAGACGCGCCCTTTCATCTGTGTTTTAAAGCAATCTCTACGGCATTTTGTGTTCTCTCTCTCTCTCACACACACACTCTCTATCTTTCGCTCCCCACAACCGAGTGTTTTGTGTCTACAAGACTAGCATTAAAATAATATTACGAATTTTCGTAATTCTTTGTGAAAATCGTTAAGATTCTACCTGTACCAGAAGAAGAAGACGAAGAAGAGAGAACTTGATATTAGTATTAGCTGCTTAGTTAGACTACTACGAAAAAGGAGCAAATTTTTTACAAATTAAATATATATACATACATATTAGACATACCATAGATATATATTTAACAAAGAACCACAAATCAAAAAATTCAAAAAAAAAACGAGAAAAACGGAACTTTGTAACTTTTGTGACCAAAATCGCCAAATTTTTTTACAAAAACAAATCAAATAGACTTAAACGAAAAAGAAAAACTTGAAAACTTTAAATTTTAATTAAACAAACGCACACACGTACATACATTCCTTCTCTGTCTATCTCTCTCTCCGAAAAAAAAAACAAACACACACACAAAATGGGTGGTTGCGCATCTAAGGATAAAAAAGACAAAGTGGTTGATGGCGATGCTGTTGCCACCGATAATAATGCTACCGAAAATAACACCGCTGACGGTGACAAAGCAACCTCCGTCACTGCTGCTGGTGAAACAGCCACAACTGAGGCAAATGGCGATGCCACCGCCAATGCAGAAGGGTGTGTATATTATTGTACCTTTTGTTTTTTTTTTTTTTTTGAATTTTCTATTTCATTCTGTTCCTTTGGCATTTGTCTATTTTGCAAAAGCAAATATTTCGCATAGCCTGGGCAGGATATTATGTTTGCTGTGTATCCACCTAAATATTTGAGTCTCTCTGATCTGATTTGTAGAGTTCCCTCTTTTTATTTGCAATCGGTATAGGGGTATATTTGGGTCAATGGGAGGTTTTATTGTGTATTTTTAAATATGGGATACTGGGAAGAAAAAAAAAAACATATTGGATTGAATATATTTTACGGATTTTTCGTGTATATATCTAGCTTATATATACATGTGTACAACTCGAATTTGCCATATATCTAGGCAATAATGTAGATTTTTAAGTATATAAACGATGTGACAAAGGTCATTTATTTTGAAAATTGCAAAAATATATATATATATATATATTAATACCTGCATTTTTTGAAAATGTTAGATTTCGCCCTTAGTAGTAAAATTAAGAAGGTGAAGTCATTTCAAATAAGCATTTCCATCTCTGCATTTTCTGTAATTTACTTTGGCAAATTTCACTGTATAGAAAACAGGTTCCCATCTCTGATATGTGAAATATACATTTTGACAATAAAATGTTGTCAAATGAATAACTTTGGAAAAAAATTATAAACATATGATTGCCTGACTTGACCTTTTTAATTCTACCATAATTTCTCCATTCCATAATCGGATATTTTTTTAAAAATGTCTGCCTTCTTTTCATTCATATCTTGGAATGAGTAAAAAATGTTGATCACAAAAATAGACATTTTTGTAAAACTCATATATTCCTGATGAAGTTTAATTCAGTGATGTTAGCTCAGGTTCGGACAAGATTTACGCCCTTAATTGTGTAGTTTATACAATTTCACACTCATTTTTTCTATGAGCGACAGCAAACAGCTTTCTTGACTTTTATTCAGTAAGTCCCGTAGATTTAAACTGTCAATTCCATTATATACACGTCAAAAAAATCTAATAGAAGGCTTTAACCCACAAAAAAAAAACTCTAATGTAAACATACTATTAAAAAAAACTTGTTCCTTTATAATTAGTTCAACAATATAATAAGATGACCTCTTTTGGGTTATGTTGACAATTATTGAATGAAATTGACAACTTATATAATTTGGTTTATCAACCCAATTTAGTATTCAAATATAAGAAGTCGTTAAATTAAGCGTTTAAGGAAAATACATTTAAATAATCAACTTTGTCCAAAACGAACACAGAGAACAAAGATTCTCCCTATTCACACGTTCAAAATTTACATTTATTAAATAGGAGTTCTAGGGTAAGAAGAGGGAGGGTAAATCTCACCTTTTTCTTCGCCCATCTTTCAGAAAAAATACTCTGTGAACTTTGCAATGCGAATAGGGATTAATTAAAAAAAGTTTATTGGGAAATACAACCATGGTAGAATAATACAGGTAGATGCATCAACACTTGGGGACATTTATATGTCAAAATGTTTAAAATGTCTTTTCAAAAATAAATAGTTTTTTATGTTTTCTTATACGACGCCAATCTAAGATTGTTGTGAAATTTTAATGAATTTGAATATTTTTTCATTCAAAATTTTCAATTTCAAAATTGATTTGACAGTTCATTGTCCCGACGCGACTACATTGAATACAACAAAACTTAAACTGTGCTAACACATGGCAAAAAAGCCTACACTCGTTAAAAAGCGTTCCGGTGTTTATGTGACATTGCCATTCATTTATTAACAAACATAGTAATCGCTTTTAATTTGACATAAGGCAGGATTTTTACAACAGAAACAATTAAATTATGCGACAGTCTCGTGCAGATAAAATCTAAAAAAAAGTCACGAGCTCAAGTATGGGATATGGACAATTATTCTAATAATGTTGATTGTTAGCCAAACTTTATTGCCTGCTGCTTGTCTTCTTTCGTAAATACGCCCATAAACTAATTGAATATCCTTAAAAAAAAATTATTGGCACGCCATTGACTCATGAATGGGAGGCAGGGGGATGAAAACTAGACGACTGACGTCACATGTAGGCATAAGGTTAACGAACCACCCTCCCCAGTTACCAGCAGATTTAAGGTTTTCAAATTATAATAGAAAACCACCCACTCTCACATTTCCCGAACATGGTCTTACTCATCAAGAAGTGACACGTTTGTGGACGCCACATATGGGGGGGATGTATGATTTGATACTCGCGTGCTGAAAATGCATAAAAAGTAGCAACAGTCCCTGTTGCCGGTCTCACAAATATCAAAGGAAAGGAAAACGGAAAATGACCAAAAAAAGTTGTTGTTTGCGTCGTGGCGACGTCCGTCAACGCCTTTGTTTGTTGTGTCTTTGCATTTTTGGTTTGGTTTGCTTTTTTTAGTCACTCACCCCCGAAGTTAGGAACAACCAACTCCCACCCATGCCGGCATTTATGTTTCGCAAGGATATACACACATTTTTGTTATCTCTGCATGCATGAATATACAATTTTCCTGTACATAGCTATCTATGTAATTGTTCTATATACCATTAGATGGTATATAGACACTCACTCACTCACTCATTGGACAAGCGCATGTCACGTGTGGCCCGCCACAATTATTTTTGTCGGCACACCACCTTCGTGCGTTCGTTTTCTTCCAAGCCGGCTAGCCGAACAAAACACCCTTTTTCCAGAAACCCAGGAATAATTTTCAACACACATAAATGGTGGATAACAGTTTTTCGTGGCGATGAGTAATACAACAGGAATTCACGCACTTTGCATTTTTTTGACAACAGGGGAAATGCTGCTCCAAAAATATCATGCAATATAATTTTCAGAGATTTTTTTGCAACTGGCCGGAGATTCAACCTAAATATTTAAAAATAAGAAAATTTATTCTAATTTGAAATATGTTTCTTCTGGCAATTCTCTAATATCCAACTTATTTTTAGCATAGAAAAGAAAAAACTAAAATGAAATCAATATTACGAATTTGTCGTTATCAATCACAAATGATACAAAGAAAATTTGAAGATAATTTCTTTCAAAATCAACTCAAAACTTCAACACTTTCTATTGCCTATTGCAATTGGTCCAAATGCAACTTTTTGTAAGCCACATCTTTAGAATTAACCTTTATTGCTACTTTTATAAATTTAGACTAATTTTGTTTGCTTTTCCCCCCTTTTATCGTTACAGCAAAGAAGACACCATGGTTGATGCTGCTGTTCTTACCAAATTGGAAGAAGGCTTCGCCAAGCTCCAAGCCTCCAACTCCAAGTCTTTGTTGAAGAAGTACTTGACCAAGGAAGTCTTCGATAACCTAAAGAACAAGAAGACCCCAACTTTCGGTTCCACTTTGTTGGACTGCATCCAATCTGGTTTGGAAAACCACGATTCCGGTGTTGGTATCTATGCCCCCGATGCTGAAGCCTACACAGTATTCGCCGATTTGTTCGATCCCATCATTGAAGACTACCATGGTGGTTTCAAGAAGACCGACAAGCACCCTGCCAGTGATTTCGGTGATGTCAACAGCTTCGCCAACTTGGACCCCAACAATGAATTCGTCATCTCCACCCGTGTCCGTTGCGGTCGCTCCATGCAAGGTTATCCCTTCAACCCCTGCTTGACCGAAGCCCAATACAAGGAAATGGAAGAGAAGGTCTCCAGCACCTTGTCTGGTTTGGAAGGTGAATTGAAGGGTAAATTCTACCCCTTGACTGGCATGGACAAGGCCGTTCAACAACAATTGATCGATGATCACTTCTTGTTCAAGGAAGGTGATCGCTTCTTGCAATCTGCCAATGCCTGCCGCTTCTGGCCCTCTGGCCGTGGTATCTACCACAATGACAACAAGACCTTCTTGGTCTGGTGCAACGAAGAAGATCACTTGCGCATCATCTCCATGCAAAAGGGTGGTGATTTGGGTGAAGTATACAAACGCTTGGTCACCGCTGTCAACGAAATTGAAAAGCGCATTCCCTTCAGCCACGATGACCGTTTGGGCTTCTTGACCTTCTGCCCCACCAACTTGGGCACCACCATCCGTGCCTCCGTGCACATCAAGGTACCCAAATTGGGCGCCAACTTGGCTAAATTGGAAGAAATCGCCGGCAAATACAACTTGCAAGTCCGCGGTACCCGTGGTGAACACACCGAAGCCGAAGGTGGTATCTACGATATCTCCAACAAGCGCCGCATGGGTCTCACCGAATACCAAGCCGTCAAGGAAATGTACGATGGTATTGCTGAACTCATCAAGATCGAAAAGAGCATGTAAGGTGTTACACCTCCAACCCCGCAAATGTAGAGCTTACGGCTAAGCCTAAAATCTCTGTAGCCGCTAGATAACAACGTTCTTGGTGGCAACAATCTCTATAAAAAAAAAACAACAACAACAACACCTTCAACAAATCTTTATGCAATGTATGTTACTATCAACCAACCTCCCAACAACAAAAAATAACATCCCAAACTGCTGTTGATGGCAGTCGGTGTGGCCGTGTGTCCGTCTGTGTAAATCAGCATTTTTTAATTTAAATTTCACTTTCGTTTCTCTTTAATTTATATTTGCGTCGATATTTTGTGTATCATTTGTTGTACCATCTCACGCGTTACGCGTTTCTGAAGAACAAAAAAACGGCACCACCCATCGATCTGGCCACGCCCAAAAGTCCACTTCACCATCGAGGACTGTTATGAGGACATTGCACCCTTCTCTTTGAAGCCACCACAAATAATTGTTTAAGTTACAGTTTTTTCTATTTAAAATTTATTTATTAAAATAAAACAAAGATAACTTCAAAAAAAACAACATCAACTTTAAGTTAAACCAAAGTTTGAATAGGAAAAAAGAGATGATGAGAAGATAAGATTTGTATCGATTTGACAGCAGGCAAATGTAAGGAACTATAACAACAGCAACAAAACAACAACTTTAAGTAAAAATCCTAAAATCAACATCTAATGAACACAAAATATTTTTAATTTTAAGTCTTAAGTTTATAAAAAGAATTAATTATTAAAAATAATAAAAAAAAACACAAAAAAAAAACAATTGTATTTTTTCTATGAATATTTGTGGGGTGTGGGCAGTGTACAGTCATGCATTCGTATGGTAAGCATATTACAGGTGAACATTGCATTGTAAAAATAAAAGGTTAACAATTTTTGGTCTGTTCCAAAACTTGCGAGAATGTAAAAATCTGACTAGGATAACCAATTTTTCCTTTATGATATCGAGAACAATTTCAATGCATGTAGTTCTGGTTTCTGGAACAGGCGTTTAATCGATTTTTAAATATTTTCTTACACGATGCCGTTCAGAGCTTGTTATGATATTTGTTTCTAATATAATATGTTTTCTGATTGTACTTTCATATCCGTTACATTTTTTGGTTGCATCTGGCAATGCCATGGCAGACAGACCAAACCACAAACTAACAGTAGTTTCCATCCCATATCTTGCAGTTAGTATGGCATCTCTGTTCACCGTGAAAGGTTATCATCTGTTGTACGAATTGCGATTGTGGCAGTGTTGCCACCAAGGATGCTGCGTATTACACGCGGAGGGTGATAATATTGCACATTTTTTAATAAAAGTATTTTTATACCCTCCACTATACTATGGAGGGTAAATTAACTGTGTCGTCATTCCGTTTGTAACTCCTCGAAATACTCACGTCAGACCCAACGTAAAATGCTAAGTCGATTTAGCGCTGTCCGTCTGTCTGTTGTAATCAACCTATCTTTCGAACGAATTGAGATAGAAGGCTAAAATTTTGCACACATATTTATTCTGCCAGTAGGCAGTTCGTAAATGGGTCATGTAGGTCCACGTTTCCGAATAGCCCTCATATAACGGTACCTCCCGATATTCGGTATTTTGATTATTTTAGCGACATTATTCACCGGAATTGTTTCAAATTTGGTATTTGAAGTCCGAAATGGATACTACAGCCTAAGACAGAAAATTGTCTTTGCAGGTCCACGTCTCCGTATAGCCGCCATACAACGCTAACTCCCTATATTCGGTATTCTGACGATTTTAGCGACATTATTCACCGGAATTGTTTCAAATTTGACATTTGAAGTTCGTAATTGATACTAACGCTTATGACAGAAATTTGTATGTACAGGTCCACGTCTTCGTATAGCCCCCCTATAACGGTACCTCCCTATATTCGGTATTTTCATGATTTTAGCGTCATTATTCTACGGAGTAGTTTCAAATTACGCATTTAGAGTTCGTGGGTGAAAGAAAATTGTTTATGCAGGTCAAGGTCTTCGTATAGCTGCGATATAACGGTACCTCCCGATTTACGGTATTTTGATGATTTTAGCTACATTATTCACTGTTAATTTCAAGTTTCGAATTTGAATATCGTAATGGCTTATAACAAACAATGCCTATGTAGGTCCACGTCGTATAGACCCCAATATAACGGCTATATTCTAAAATTTTAACAGAATTTTTAACAGATTTCATTTTTTGAAAATTTCCAAATTAGTTCCAAATGGTGGAGGGTATTCAAAGTTCGGCCGGCCCAAAAACTAACAAACTAAAATGCATTTTATATAAAATTTATAGAATAAGTTATAACTAAACCAGTAAGGAAAAGTCATAAGTCGGTCGGGATCGACTATATGATATCCTACACCACTATGCATATTTAGTAGAGCTCCAGTAAAAAAAAAGAATTTATGTGAAGTAGATGATCGGCTTTAGAGCATCTATAGTTTGGTTTCAGAGGGAACTAATATATGGGAGGCATATCCAATTCTAAATCGATTTTCACTAAATTTGACGGAGACATTTTTTAGAGTATCACTTCGAGAAGGATTATATTAAGAAAATATCCATATATCGGAGCCGAGTTCCATTAAAATGGAAACGTACGTTCCGAAACTCACTCCATTTGAGCTGATATTAGCCATTATTTGCACAATAAACCTGAAATCGGATTAAGGATATATGGTAGCTATATCCAAATCTTAGCCGTTCTCGATAAAATTTGCCATGGGTATTTCTGAGCTCTGGGACCAAATATCATTGTTATCAGATATCATTGTTGTACTTGCTTCTGCATTGAATTCGTTCGGATGTACCAAAATTTCGAGAGATATTGGCCATTTGGTTCACAATTAACCCGAAATCGGTTGAAGATATATATGGGAGCTGCATCCAAATCTGAAGCGATCTTGATAAAATTTGCCAGAGGTGTTTCTTGGCTGTATCTGATATCTGGTATCAGATGGATTGACATGCATAAATCGACTCAGAAAGTGATTCTATAAGAGATCCTCAAAAGTAACAAGATCTCGGCTCCTTCTCCATGTTACAAACAAATGCACAAAGACATAGTACAATGAAGAGAAGGTAGGGCTATGATACCATATGATTTTAATTTTTTTTATTTTCTTGGCTTAATATGTCATCTTTATTTGTTTATGTATGTGTTTTCTTTTCAATAACAAAAAAATTGTTCAGAAAACATTCAAATTCGGGTGTTTTCAAAATGTTTATTTCATCGTATGCATTGACAAAATCTAGAGTTTTTGTAGCGAAATAATCCTTTAGAGATATATAGAACCTGGTTTTGAAAAGAAGTGTTGACCTTTCATTCAGTTTTCGCGGTTTTCAATTATTTATTCAAAATAAATGCAACAAGTTGTTTGATTTTTTATTGTTTTGATACTAATTCTGACATTACAAGCCAAACAGGTAGACCTCAATACTTGCATGGTACAATGATATCAAGGTAGGGCAGAACTACCATATGATTTTAATTTTTTTATTTTCTTGGCTTAATATCTCATCTTTATTTGTTTATGTATGTGTTTTCTTTTCAATAACAAAAAAATTGTTCAGAAAATATTCAAATTCGGATGTTTTCAAAATGTTTATTTCAACGTATGCATCGACAAAATCTAGAGTTTTTGTAGCGAAATAATCCTGTAAAGATATGTAGTACATGATTTTGAAAAGAAGTGTTGACCTTTCATTCAATTATCGCGGTTTTCAATTATTTATTCAAAATCAATCAATCAAACAACTTTGATTTTTTATTGTTTTGATACTAATTCTGACATTACAAGCCAAACAAGTAGACCTCTATACTTGCAATTTTTTCAAAGTTGGCCTACCTTCTCTTCATTGTACCATGCTTACCACCATGTGATGTAGGATATTAAAAATATAATTGTGCGTGTTTCTAGTTTTACAATTTTGCAAAGTGCTAAATATTCTATAACCTAAGTCTGGAGTATTCCCCTATTGACTCCTTATGTTCATATTACTCTCTGTTACAGAGAGTAGTGTTATTCAAAACGAAACTGACAGCTTTGCAATATTTGCTGATCATTTCCAATATCATGAATTCATCCCGGCGAAGAGAATGATCACTTGGCTCTTGTAGCTTATTTGCTATGACAATTTTGGTGAAAATCAAACAATTTAGGTGTCGAATATTCTCCAGTACATGAGAATCATACTAAGGCTGGAAATACATAAAGCGCATATTTGGCTGGCTTAAGTCATCGGCTGGCTTCTTCGTAGATGAACAAAGGAGTTTTAGGTTGACCTAGTTCGATTTTAGCCCTAGGCTCCTTTGTTCATTTCCAGCCGATGACTTAACCCAGCCAAATAAGCGCTTTATGTATTCCCAGCTTAACTTCCTGCCTTTCCCAAAGCTCATCAGCTAAATATTATTTTTGCAGTAGCATTTGAGAAGGGAAGGATCATAAAAAAAGTGTTCAAAATAGTAAAACTATAAATTACACATGCCACTAATTGCACATGGTTCACACATGCAACAACAAATTACACACAACATGTGTAATTACACATGAGGTGGCAACACTGGATTGTGGGCAAACACAAACTAATCAACTCTTTCAGTATCTATCCCATATCAGCCCTACACAGTTCTCAATACTGTTTGTTGAAGATAATATTCGAAAAAATGCTCAAAGCTTGGTTTATGGACAATGAAACTACCGATCAATGTTTGGAGCATCATCGTAATCCGCCTGAATTGATTGCAAGTGGTGAACTTTTTAAGAAAACTGGTGTGGAGCATTTTCTGGTATGTTCGTTGGCTTCATGAAGTGTGAATGTGTGCATCATATTGTTATTAAGGCATCATATTGTACTAAGGAACAGGGGTACAGAGAGGGATTTCGACAAAAAAAAATATGTATCCATCTCTTGACAGTGTCATCGTCCACATATGGGACATTTTTTTATTGGATGTCTCTGCATTGGATGTCTCTGCACGCAGAGACAAAATTCATTGCTACAACCATATTTTGAAAGAACAATACATATGGTAATTATATGGTCACTTTTTACCATATAATTTAGTACATCTACCATACAACATACATTTATCGCAAAAACAAGTAAAAAAAACATTAAGTTATTTAAGGCCGGGCCGAACTTTTAATACCATCCACCTTTGGGTAAAGAAAACAGTATTCTATAAAAGTATCTGAATTCAAACGTGTTTCAGAAAACCATAAAGTGGGCGAGGCCGTTGTAGGGGGGCCATACCAAAACGGAAACCTCTGTAAACGATTTTATACTCCAAGGCTTGTCATCTACCAAATCTTCTTAAATACCAAATTTGAAACAATTTCGTGGGTAAATATGACTAGTATTATCAAAATACCGAATATTGGTGGGTATCGTTAGATGTGCGCTATATGAAAACATGGACCTAGATACTCAATGTTCTGGCACCGGAGCCTGAACCCATTAAGAACTACAAATACCAATTTTTAGACAACTTCGTGGAAAAATGTGGGGGCTATACGAAAACGTGGAACTATACAGGGTGAGATGAAAAAACTGCAACCAGCTTCAAGCCACTCGTCCGATAGCTGTTAAAATTATTTCAGTGACAGCTTATTATATTGTTTAGAAGCGTTCAAAAGCATTTTGGTTCGAATTTTGAAGAAAAAAAAAGTTATTCGTGATGGAATTTAAGCGTGATAGTGTGATTTCTTTATATTTGGCTGAAAAACCACAAGTGGCTATTGTTAGAGCACTCCAGCATTTAAATGTGAATAAATCTTTTGTTGCTCGTACTATAGCCATAGCGTAGCCCGACGTCAAGCAAGTCGATGGAAGTAAACAACAACATCGGCAGAAATGGTTCGAAAAGTAAATAAGCGACTTGATCGAAACCCGCGTCGTAGTGGCCGAAAAATGGCTCGTGAGCTGAACATATCGCAAATATTCCATTCAGCAAATATTGAAAAATGAGCTCCTGGTAAAGCCATTTAAATTCCAAAAAGGGCAAGAACGTTCACCGCACCGGAAAGAAAATAGACTCAAAAGAGCTAATGAGTTGTTTCGCTTGGCCGAATGTGGTGAACTGCCGAATTTGGTTTTCTCCGATGAGAAAACATTCGTTGTCCAGCAGTTTGTGAACAAACAAAATGATCGTGTTTACTTGCCAAAGAGGTCAGTTGAAAATGTGCACCTTCGGTTGGCCACCAGAACTGATGGTATGGGCCGCCATAACAGCCGATGGTCGCTCTCCGCTTATATTAATCGACCGTGGCATCAGAATAAATGCCGAATATTATCGCCAAAATATTCTGGAAGGTGTATTAAACATTCAGGCAGCGTGTGACGGTTTCATTGGCCGTTTGAAGGCCATAATTCGTGACAAAGGTGACCAATTCGAACAAATCTAAACTTATTCTAAAATTTGATGCTATTTCCGACATTTTTTGCTTTCATTCAATAAATTAAAAAAAAGTGAAAATTATGGCTTTTGACTTTGTTGCAGTTTTTTATATCTCACCCTAAACATACGATGCTATGCCACCGCAGCTAGAACCCATTATGACCTACAAATACCAATATTAAACAAATCCGTGGAACAATGTGGCAAAAATCATCAAAATACCGAATGTCGAGTTTGAGGGCTATACAAAGCCGTGGAACTATACATGCAATGTTTCGCCACCGGAGCTAGAACTCATTATGACCTACAAATATAAATTTTTAGACAAATTCGTAAAAAAAAATCCGGCAAAAATCTATCTATACCAAAACGTGGAACGATATATCTCATTTCTATCTGTCAAGAAGGAAGAAGGACCTATTGCCGGAATTTCTGGTCAAAGTGATAGAAAATGTCATAAAAATGGCTCAAATGACAATAAACTGAGGCGGCGGCCATTTACATGACATCGTATTCTCGTATTCTTGATGTAAAAAAACTAAAGGACCAAATAAAAAGAAGAAGAGTTAAAGTTTTTCATTTTTTTTAATTACAGCCAAAAAAAAAAACATCGGAAGTTTATTTTTGCGCTACCTTGTAGTAGAATGGCTATAATAGTTAAGGTGTGAATACATAAAGCGTTTCTCTGACTGGGTTAAGTCATCGGCTGGCTTCTTCGTATAGGAACAACGGAGTTTTAGGTTGACTTATTTCGATTTTGGCCCTAGGCTTCTTTGTTCATTTCCGAAGAAGCAGGCCGATGACTTAAGGAATTATGGCCTTCGAACGGCCAATGAAACCGTCACACGCTGCCCGAATGTTGCTCTGCGGATTTTGGCCCATTCCCGGCGAAGCGCTTGCTTGAGGTGATCGACACTTTGGTATTTTTTTAGTGCCAACCTTGGTTTCCAAAATACTCCAGACACAATAGTCCAACGGATTGGTATCCGGAGATTTTGGTGGCCATTGTGCGTTGGAAATGGAACGAGGAACCTCATTTTTTAACCATTCTTGGGGGGCGCTCGTGCTGAGTTCGATGCTGCTAAATCCTGTCGGAATGTCCAAGGTCTGCGGCCAAAATATTTGCGTGCCCAAGGCTTTAATACACCCTCCAGAACATGTTCGCCATAATATTCGGCATTTTTTCTGATGCCACGGTCGATTAATACGAGCGAAGAGTGACCAACGGCTGTTATGGCGGCCAACACCATCACCATGGCCGGCACTTGAGTTCTGGTGGCCAACCGAAGGTGCACATTTTCAGCTGACCTCTTTGGCAAGTAAATACGATAATTTTGTTTGTTTACAAACTGCTGGACAACAAATGTTTTCTCATCGGAGAAAACCAAATTCGGCAGTTCACCACTTTCGGCCAAGCGAAGCAACTCATTAGCTCTTTTGATTCTATTTTCTTTTTGTTGCGGTGTAAGTTCTTGCACTTTTTGGAATTTCAATGGCTTTACCCCGAGCTCAATTTTTAATATTTGCCGAATGGAATATTGCTATGTGTTCAGCTCACGAGCCATTTTTCGGCCACTGCGACGCGGCTTCCGATCAAGTCGCTTCTTTACTTTCCAACCATTTCTGCTGATGTTGCTGTTTTCTTCTGTCCATTTCCTTGACGTCGGGCTACGCTATGGCTATGGTACGAGACACAAAAGATTTATTCACATTCAAATGGTTGAGTGCTCTAACGGCAGCCACTTGTGGTTTTCCAGCCAAATATAACGAAATCACACTATCACGCTTTAATTCCATCACGAATAACTTTTTTTCTGGAAAATTCTCACCAAAATGCTATTGTACGCTTGTAAACAATATTCTAATGAGTTGTCACTGGAATAAGTAGCTTAGAAATGACAACAGTCTAACGTTGGTTGCAGTTTTTTCAACTCACCCTGTATGTAACGATAGTTCAGAAACTATCGAAGTAGATAATGAAATCTTGTTCATAGTGATATCAATAGAGATAAAGGTTTATTCGAAAATAACAATAACAACCAAGATTGTCGTTAAAAGGCATATTGTGATTTGAAAGTCCAAGAGAAACAAATCACAATAGTGCAAGAACTTCTAAGCAATCTCTAAGCAACTCATGATAGAATTAAGAAGGTAAAGTCATGCAATCATATGTTTACAATTTTTTTTTTCAAAATTATTCATTTGACAACATCTCATTGTCAAAATGTGTATTTACAAATCCATTGTACATACACAAATCAGAGATGGGAACCTGCTTTCTTTGCAGTGAAATTTGACGAGGTAAATTACAGAAAATAACGCTCATATAACTGATATAACCCTGGCAACTCTGCTCGCATGCAAGTGTTTTTTTCTGTGTGTCGTCAAACAAATAAAAATTTAATTAAATTTTCGCAGTTATTGTGTCTTTAGAAGTTTTAAATTGTGATTCTTTTAATATATACATTTCAATAGTTTGCAAAAGTGTGAAGTTTTTGTGAAATATAGTGTTTTTATACTATTTTACAAAATTTAATTTTGTGCGCGTTGATAATTTTTTTTTTTTTTGGTCTTTTAATATTCTTTTCTGTGTTTGTTATTTACAACGTAGTGTTATTTCTTTTGTTTTTGACGTTTGTGCCTGATTCCCTTTTGCTGTCCTGTACGTATAAAATATTAAATTAGCTTTCCTGAACATACTTTTAGGCTGTTACTGTAAATTGATTATTACACTATTTCTCTAACACACTGTTTCCTTTAATATTTCGAATTAACATGGAGTGCTCGAATAAAAATTGTAAAATTACTAATTTTAATAAACGTTTACTAACATGTTGGCTATGCGATAAGCATGAACATTTAAAATGTGCCGGTCCTAATGGCCGCCATTTTGACGTTCTTATTGATCGCGAAAAATGTGGTTTACGTTGGGCATGTCTTGATTGTAGGCCCTTAGAAATTAAGGAAGAGTCTAAAACTGAATTAGCAGCTTTGAAGAAGGTTTTCGACGAAGCATTTTTAAAGCATCAGAATTTTGAAAAAAAAGTTTAATCATTTTCAATTCCTGGATGGATCTCCGAAACGAAAGAAATCCTCAGTTTTTGTACCTGGTGATGATTTGATCAGTTTAAATTCACCAGCTGTGGCTCAGCCACACAACGCTGCCAAATATTTTGGCTCGGACATCCCACCCTCTATTGATGATAAAACTATTGAAATTGTTACAGGAAATGCTCCGGTCGAAATGCAATCTTCTAAAACCGTACCTATAGCTTCTCAATTCTTAGCGCCTTGGACAAATGTATATTCCATGGCCCAAGTATAAGGTCCTCCTACCAGGCCAGCTGACTAGCAAATGTAATGTAAAAATGCATGATTGTGATTGAAATCACAAAACCAATAGCCAACAATTGTAAACAAATTTTGATATTTCATCTGGTTTTCTTTAAAATGCAGGAACACCTTTTTATTCTAACAATTTCTATAATTGCAGATTGATGCTGATAACTATCAAAACGATAAAGTGCTTCAGGATCTACGTAAGAAACGCAATTATACTTACGAAGATGAGGTAAAGGAGAAACACCTGTAAAAATGCCGACTACACACAATATATTTATAAACATTTAAAAAAAACTATAAGTTCGACCGGGCCGAACTTTGAATACCCTCCACCAGTTGGAACGAATTTGGAAAATTTCAAAAAATAAAATCTGTTAAAAATTCTGTTAAAATCTTAAAAATACCGCATGTAGCCTTTATATTTGGGTCTATACGATGACGTGGACCTGCATAGGCAACTTTTGTCATAAGCCATTACAATATTTAAAAGCGAAACTTGAAAAAAAAAAAAAACAAAATATCGGTGAATAATGTAGCTAAAATACCGAATATAGGGGGATACCATTATATGGGGGCTATACCAAAACATGAACTTGCACAGACAATCTCCTGTCATATGCTGTAGTATCCATTACGCAATTCAAATACCAAATTTGAAACAATTCCGGTGAATTCCTAAAATCATCAAAATACCGAATATCGGGAAGTACCGTTATGTGGGGGGCTATGCGAAGACGTGGACCTGAACAGACAATTTTCTGTCTTAGGCTGTAGTATCCATTACGAAAATCAAATACCAAATTTGAAGCAATTCCGGTGAATATTGTCGCTTAAATCATCAAAATACCGAAAATAGGGAGGTACCGTCATATGGGGGGGGGGGGGGGGGGTCTATGCGAAGACGTGGACCTGCACAGACAATTTTCTGTCATGGGCTGTAATATCCATTAGGAACTTCAAATACCAAATATTAAACAATTCCGGTGAATAATGTCGCTTAAATCACCAAAATACCGAAAATTGGTAGGTACCTGTGGGGGCTATACCAAAAAGTTGACCTACATGGCCCATTTTCAATACCAAAAGTCCTGCATACATAATATACTTGAGTAAAATTTTATCAACCTTCTTCATTTCGTTCGGAAGCTAGAGTGATTTCCACAGACGGACGGGTGGTCATCGTTAAATCGACATAGAATTTTATGCTGATAAAGAATTGGTGTGGTCTAAAATTTATATTTCGAAGTGTTACAAACGGAATGACAATCTTAATATACCCTCCATACTATGGTGGGGGGTATAAAAACGGCATTTTCAGATTGCATGTTCGGAAGAATGTTTACCCGACTATGCCAATAAATTGAAGTCGTTCTACACTGAACATTTGCACACCGATGATGAAATTCGTTTGGTCTTGGATGGCTCGGGATACTTCGATGTTAGAGAGTGAGTATTCGAAGCTGTGGATGCATTTAAAAATATCGTTTTTATCGATTTCTTAAAAAAAGTTAAGTTGGCATAAGCAGCTTGGCTACAAAGGCATGGTATATTTGGTGACATACTATAAAGGCATGTCCGGTCCGCATTAATATGCAGTGCTACCATTCCAAGCTGTATATGCATTATTACCTTAATCGCATGAGCATGCTTTAAATATAATTATATATTTTTTTCCTGACCGGCTGAATAAATGTATATAAACATATATATTTTATGGGAAAAAATAATTTAAAAAAATGTAAACCCTTCCAGTGACAAAGATAATTGGATTCGGATTGCAGCTACCAAAGGCGAGTTAATCATTATTCCTGCTGGATTATATCATCGTTTTACTTTGGACGCCAACGTATGTTTTACCTAATAATTCAATTAAACCATGGTAAAATTAAGAATGTAAAGTAATTTCAAATAAGCATATCCATCTCTGCATTTTCTGTAATTTACCTTGTCAAATTTCACTGAATAAAAAGAGGTTCCCATCTCTGATTTCCGTGTATAATAATAATTTTGAAAAAAAAAACGAATAATTTTGAAAAAAATTGTAAACATATGTTTGCATGACTCTACCTTCTTAATTCTACCATGAATTAAACATTCTAAGTAATTTTTTTTATGAAACCATCTTTTAGAATTATATAAAAGCTAAGCGTTACTTTGTTGGTGGACCCGTTTGGTTGGCTTACAACCGACCAGCTGATGATATGGATTGTCGCAGAGAGTATTTAAAACACCAGTCGCAAGGATTTGCCCATTTAAACAAAGTTTAATTCAAATCTGATTATCTGTTCCAGAAGTGCAAGAATGTAAAAATTTACACCGATTTTCTCGATATCGACAAAAGTTCCAAAACTTGTCGATTCTTGTCGGTGCTGGAACAGATGTTAATAAAAATACATTGTAAACAAGTAAAAAAACATTAAGTTCGGCTGGGCCGAACTTGTAATACCCTCCACCATTGGGTAAAGAAAATATTTTCATATAAAAGTATCTGAATTCAAACGTGTTCCACTCTAAACTACAAATACCAGTAAGATCGTTTGAATAATACTGTTAAACTTTTCAAAAAATCATAAACTGGGTGAGGTCGATATACGGGGGCCATATCAAAACGTTAACCTCTATAGACAATTGTATATTCTTCAAGGATTGTCATCTACCTAATCGTCTTAAATACCAAATTTGAAAAAGTTTCGTGGTAAATGTGACTAGGATTATTAAAATTCCGAATATCGGTGGGTATCATTATATGGGGCCTATGGGCCTATATATACTATGTTCCGCCACCGAAGCTAGAACGTATTATGACCTACAAATACCAATTTTTAAACAAATCCGTGGAAATATGTGGCGAATATCATCAAAATACCGAATATCGGGAGGTACCGTTATAAGGGGACTATACCAAAACGTTGACCAATATATCTCATTTTCAATACCAACCATCCGAGACACAATACAAATTGTTCTGCCAAATGTTGAAGCTTTATGTCAAATAATGTGGGCTGTATCGTGATTTCAACAGACAGGCATACGGACATCGTTAAATCAACTTTGAATTTTATTTTTTATAAAAAAACTGCAACAAAGTCAAAAGCCATAATTTTCACATTTTTTTAAATCTATTGAATGAAAGCAAAAAATATCGGAAATAGCATCAGATTTTAGAATAAGTTTAGATTTGTTCAAATTGGTTACCTTTGACAGGAATTATGGCATTCGAACGGCCAATGAAACCGTCACACGCTGCCCGAATGTTGCTTTGAGGTATTTCGGCCCATTCCCGGAGAAGCGCTTGCTTAAGATGATCGGCACTTTGGTATTTTTTAGTGTCAACCTTGCTTTCCAGACACAATAGTCCAAGGGATTGGTATTCGGAAATGTTGGTGGCCATTGTGCGAGGAACCTCATTTTGTAACCATTCTTGGGTGGCGCGTGCTGAGTGCGATGGTGCTGAGTCCGGTTGGAATGTCCAAGGTCTGCACCAAATTGTTGCGTTCAAGGCTTTAATACACCCTCCAGAATATTTTCGCTATAATATTCGGCATTTATTCTGATGCCACGGTCGATTAATACGAGCGGAGAGCGACCATCGGCTGTTATGGCGGCCCACACCATCACCTTGACCGGCGCTTGAGTTCTGGTGGCCAACCGAAGGTGCACATTTTCAGCTGACCTCTTTGGCAAGTAAACACGAGCGGATCATTTGGTTTGTTTACAAACTGCTGGACAACGAATGTTTTCTCATCGCAGAAAACCAAATTCGGCAGTTCACCACTTTCGGCCAAGCGAAGCAACTCTATAGCTCTTTTGAGTCTATTTTCTTTCTGTTGCGGTGTAAGTTCTTGCACTTTTTGGCATTTCAATGGCTTTACCCCGAGCTCAGTTTTCAATACTTGCCGAATGGAATATTGCGATATGTTCAGCTCACGAACCATTTTTCGGCCACTGCGACGCGGGTTTCGATCAAGTCGCTTATTTACTTTTCGAACCATTTCTGCTGATGTTGCTGTTTACTTCCGTCGACTTCTTTGACGTCGGGCTACGCTATGACTATGGTACGAGACACAAAAGATTTATTCACATTTAAATGCTAGAGTGCTCTAACGATTGCCACCTGTTGTTTTCCAGCCAAATATAAAGAAATCACACTATCACGCTTGAATTCCATCACGAATAAGTTTTTTTCTAGAAAATTCTCACCAAAATGTTTTTGTACGCTTGTAAAGAATAAAATTACCGGTCACTGGAATAATTTTAACAGCTTTCGGATGAGTGGCTTAGAAATGACTGCAGACTAATGTTGGTTGCAGTTTTTTCATCTCACCCTGTACATATACTTTATGGGGTCTACGACGAATATTAAGGGGTGTTACAAACGGAATAACAAAATTAATATCCCCTGTTTTTTAAGGTGGAGGGTATAAAAATACTAACAAGTGCCAACTCATGTTACAATTAATTGTAGGTTACCTCATTTCAAATAATAATTACATTGTCAAACTTAACTTCGTTAAAAACAGATTCCCCACCTCTAAATTGTATTATATACAATGTATTTATTTATGATTATATATTTTCACAAAGAGATGTTGTCAATTGTATTATTTTGAAAGAAAAAAATCAATTATATAATTGCATGATGTTATCTTCCTAATTATACCAAGGAACATATAAGTTAACACACAATAAGTTGTTAATCCAATAAAGTATAGTTTCTTTTATTAATAATTATTCCAAAGCAATCAATTCTCATGAATCTGCATTGCAGACGTTTGTCTGCTCCAAATATTTTCCCAACATCAAATTCCGATTAATTTTAATGAACCCAAAAAATGCATTTCCGGTAGTTGACTTCGTCAACCCATGCAATGCTTTACGCGTGTAGACGAAATTAATAAGAATTGTTTTTGGTAACAGCAACTAAATTTTAAACAACAGAGTGGCATGATTTCATGGAAAATAATTTTGTTAAATAGGCAAATTAATTTTAAAATTTAATTCTTACTCGAATATTGTAATGTAGTTTTTAAGACACTCTTTGATCAGCAGCCAACCAATAAAGTTGATTTTAATAAATAGAAAAATCGTGGTTTTAATAATAAAAGCGGCAGTAAGTTCAATTTCGATAATTGCAACTTACAGGATCAAAAGTAGTCCGCGATCCTTTTTGATAAAGTGACGCGTAATAAAAGACAGCGGTAAGTGCAATTTCGATAATTGCAACTTACAGGATAACATTAAATCGCGAGCCCTTTTTGACAAAGTGTCGCGTAAGGATCACGTTGATCCAAATTTTTTTTGATACCTTATCACGTAAGGATCTAACTTATATGCATGGTACAAAATCCTGCCGTCGTTATCCATTATAACTTGACATTAATATGCCTAGCCTTGACTTCAAGCTTTTTATGTGCTTGCACCCTAATTGTTGAGGGTATTATATGCAGGTCGCAATTATCGTCCGATCCTCACGAAATTTAGCATGGGGCAGGGTTAGGGTCAGGGGTTCTAACGGACTGAACATTATACTGGTCACAATTGAAAACCGATCGACACGAAATTTGCATAAGAAGAGAGTTTTGGACAGGGAAGAAGTCTAGCATTTTGGCTGACCATTGGATTATATTTAGCTGTAAAATGGACCACAACTTTCGTGTGAAACTGTTTTTAATACCTAACTACAATACGAATTAATTATTAAAAATAATAAATAAACAATTGTATTTTTCTACTACTCTCGGGAGGGTGAGCATATTTCAGGTACATGCATTTGTATTTTTCTACTACTCTCGGGAGGGTGAGCATATTTCAGGTACAGTACTTGTAAACATCAAAAATATTGAAAAAAGCCTGCAAAATGTATACTTTATTCGAAACTTGTAAACATCAAAAATATTGAAAAAAGCCTGCAAAATGTATACTTTATTCGAAAATAGTAGATTCTGGCAGGTTCAGGAACAGAACAAATATAGACATCTTATGTGGCATTTCCACTGCACTTGATTCGCACTCTATTCGTCGTTTGACCCTTAACTATGAAAAAACTACCAAATTCTTCACACAACATTTCCTGAGCGAATTTCCTATACATTGTTCAAATCAAACCACTCTCAGAACAACGGAAAATATGTCCCATCCCTAACAAATGAAAGCATTGATCGAAAAAATAAATTATGACACTTTAAAATTGAAAATAAAAGAATTTAATGAAATTTTGAAAATTTTTGGGAAGACTGAAAATTATGAATTAAAACTACAATGTTAAATGGCGTATATACATTCAAACGATAGTAAATTTTGTTTTCTCTCTCATTCGAGGTACGCATTTTGTCCACGAGTTGAAATTTCCTGGAAACAAAAGGGGCAATATTTTTAAAATGTTTGTATCGGCAGAAAAAATGTTTGACAAGTGTCTGTCCAGCAGAATTTAAAAATAGAAAAATACAAAAATATGTTCAAAATGTCAACATTTACACAAAAAGTTGAAAACGTGAATGAAATTTTTAAAAATTAATGATATAATAAATCTTTGGGAGAAAAACAATCATATCTTCTATTCATATTCGTGAGAATTTAATGTATTTTAGTATAAATTCCCATTAAAATCAACAAACAAAATTTTTGAAAAAACGAATTATTTTACTATGAATTACGAATTGTGCCGTATGAACGGGTTAATTCGTGTACCTAATTCTGAGAGCAAACAACGTGATTGAAAGTGTAATAGCATTAGTTTTTACTACGATAACCGATTTTCTCTTTATGATATCGAAAAAAAAAATTACAAAACTAGTGTTTTCTTGCAGGTACTGGAACAGAGCAATAGTACTTGAACAGAGCAAAAGTAAAAAATTTTTACAACCGATTTTTCATTATGATTTTAGAGCTAGTAGCATGGTACAATGATATCAAGGTAGGGCTATAATACCATATGATTTTAATTTTTTTTATTTTCTTGGCTTAATATGTCATCTTTATTTGTTTATGTATTTGTTTTCTTTTCAATAACAAACAAATTGTTCAGAAAATATTCAAATTCGGGTGTTTCCAAAATGTTTCTTTCAACGTATGCATCGACAAAATCTAGAGTTTTTATAGCGAAATAATCCTTTAGAGGTATATAGTACATGATTTTGAAAAGAAGTGTTGACCTTTCACTCATTTATCGCGTTTTTTCAATTATTTATTCAAAATAAATGCAACAAGTTGTTTGATTTTTTATTGTTTTGATACTAATTCTGACATTACAAGCCAAACAGGTAGACCTCTATACTTGCAATTTTTTCGAAGTTAGCCTACGTTCTCTTCATTGTACCATGGCTAGTAGATTCTTGCAGGTTCTTCAACAGCAAAGACCTAAAATGGTAAAGACTAGACAAAATGCATTTTGAGAAATGGTTTGTGTCTACAATACATAGAGTAACTGCTCATGGCAGTAACATGTTAATATAAAAACCACAATTACAGAAACGGATAACAAATAAAAATTTGAAAAATCCAAAATTTTGACTTCAAAATTCTATTCCATGGACTTTTACGAAAATTTGCACATTGCCTTAGCGGTTTAAATCAGTTAAAATTGGTAACTATGTTGTTATGATATCGTAACAACAGAGGTATTTTCACAGGGTTACCATATCTTGACTCTGTCTTGTCCTATCTTTACACTTCTATGTCTTTGTCAACAGACTTTTAATGATTTTTAAATATTTAATTACACGATACCGTTCAGAGGTTGTTATGACATTTGTTTCCAATACAATATGTTTTATGATGGTACTTTCATATCCGTTACATTTTGTGTTTGCAACTGGCAATTCCATGGCAGACAGATCAAACCAGAAACTAACAGTAGTTTCCATCCCATATCTCGCAGTTAATATGGCATCTCTGTTCGCTGTGAAAGGTTATCATCTGTTGAACGAATTGGGCAAACATAAACTAATAAACTCTTTCAGTGTCTAGTCCGTATCAGTCCTACACAGTTCTTAATTCTGTTTGTTGAAAATAATAATATTCGGAAAAAATGGTCAAAGCTTGGTTTATGGATAATGAAACTACCGATCAACGTTTGGAACATCATCGCAATCCGCCCGAATTTATTGAAATTGATGAACTCTTTAAGAAGACCGGTGTGGAGTATTTTCTGGTATGTTCGTTGGCTTCATGAAGTGTGGATGTGTGCATCATATTGTTATTATTTACGATAGTTTTTTATTGAATGCGAATATTGTGAGTGTTAAAACAAGGGCACAGAGGGGAATTTCGATAAAAAAAAGATAATATATATCGATCACATGGTAGTGTCATCGTTAACATATGGGACAGAGATGGGAATATTATGTACACGAATTAACTCGTTCAAACGACGCTTCTTGTCTTTCATAGTTGCGTCGTTCATTTATAACATGATAGAAGAATATAGGTAGACGCATCGACACAGCTGCTGGGACAATGAACTGTCAAACCAATTTTGGAATTGAAAATGTTGAATGAAAACGCGAATTATAATAACCTCCAAATAATAACCTCGCATAAGAAAACATAAAAATCTACCTATATTTAATAAAACGTTTAATTTTTTTTTGACATATCAATGCTGCCATTCGTTGATGCATCTATCTGTATTCTTCTGCCATGATTTATGTGGCGTTTCCACTGCACTTGATTCGCTCTCTATTCGTTGTTTGACCCTTAACTATGAAAAAACTACCTAATTCTTCACACAAAATTTTCTGAGCGAACACTCATATTTGTACGTTGTTCAAATCAAATCACTCTCAGAACAACGAAAAAATATGTCCCATCCCTAACAAATGAGAGCATTTATCAAAAAAATAAATTATGACATTTAAAAACTAAAAATAGAAAAATTTAATGAAATTTTAAAAATTTTTGGGAAAACTGAAAATTATGAATGAAAACTACAATGTTGAATGGCGTATGTACATTCAAACGAAAGTAAATTTTGTTTTCTCTCTCATTCGAGGTACGCATTTGGTCCACGAGTTGAAATTTCAACAGAAAACTGCAAACAAAAGAGGCAATATTTTCAAAATGTTTCTATCGGCAGAAAAAATGTTTGACAAGTGTCTCTCCAGCAGAATTTAAAAATGGAAAAACACAAAAATATGTTCAAAATGTCAACATTTACACAAAAAGTTGAAAACGTGAATGAAAATTGTAAAATTAATGGTATAATAAATCTTTGGGAGGAAAACAATAATTTCTTCTATTCGTATTAGTGATAATTTCATGTATTTTCGTATAAATTTCCATTAAAATCAACAAACAAAATTTTTGAGAAAAGGAGTTATTTTACTATGAATTACGAATCGTGCCGTATGAACGGGTTAATTCGTGTACGTAATTCTGAGAGCGAACAACGTTGTTCGGTTTTCAATGGAAACATGCTATTATATGATTTATACTTACTTGTTGTATCATGTGGTCTGTTCCAGAACTGCAAAAAATTTAAAAGTTTTTACTACGATAACCGATTTTCCCTTTATGATATCGAAGAAAATCACAAAAAAGTAGATTCTTGCAGGTACAGGAACAGAGCAATGTTTTTTTTCTGGAAATTGAAAACGGAAACAATGTTTTTTTCATGGGACAATCTGAAAGGTAGACCAATGCTATCATTTTTTATTGTAAAAATTATTGATCTCATCCAGAACCTGCATAAATCTACGAGTTTTGTATTTTTTTCCGACATTATAAAGGGAAATATCGGTTATCGTAGTAAAAATGTTTACATTCTTGTAGTTTTAGAACAGTTGGGGGTTTTAAGTCTTCCTTAGATATGGACGTACAGCTAGCAGAAAAAGTACATATTTTTATACCCTCCACCATAGTATGGAGGGTATATTAAGTTTGTCATTCCGTTTGTAACGCCTCGAAATAAACATTTTTGACCCCACAAATTACATATATTCTATGTCCTTCCGTCTGTGAAAATCACTCTAGCTTCCGAACGAAATGAAGTAGATTGATAAATTTTTACTCAAATGTATATTATGTCTGCAGAACTTTTGGTATTGAAATTGGGCTATGTAGATCCACGTTTTGGTATAGCCCCCATATAACGCCACCTCCCGATATTCGGTATTTTGGTGATTTAAGCGACATTATTGACCGGAATTGTTACAAATTGGGTATTTGAAGATCGTAATGGATACTATTGTCTAAGACTGAAAATTGTATGCGCAGGTCCAAGTCTTCGTATAGCCCTCATATAACGGCACCGCCCGATATTCGATATTTTGATTATTTTAGCGACATTATTCGCCGGAATTGTTTCAAATTTGGTATTTGAAGTTCGTAATGGATACTTCAGCTTATGAGAAAAAATTGTCTGTGCAGGTCCACGTTTTGGTAAAGATGAATTTATGGATTTAGCTACATTATATATACGTCATCGTGATACAATAAGGAGGTAGAAAAACTTCGTAAAACTATAGAAATACAGCTCTGAAGCTTAGCCCGCTTCCTGTCAGAATTATTCAAAATTATATGCAACAGTTTTATGGCAAATATTTCACATTTGTTCCTTATTTTTAAATTGACTTAAATAAAGGGAAAGATGTATGAAGTGTCTGGATTTTATTTCAAAAATAGGATCCAGAGTGTCCAATCTTTCAATTCCATGGCTAAACAATCTACGTTTCTTCCAATCATTGTTTTTGAAATATTTTGTTTTTATTTTTCAAAACAATAAATACCTTAGGGTGCAACTACATAAAAAGCTTAGTCATGGCTAGGCATATTAATGTCAAATTATAATGGAAAACGACGTCAGGATTTTATTGCAGGGCAAAAAATTCTAAGTTTATTGTCAAATTGTTGTCCAAAGCAACCATTTTGGCCGACCTTACGTAGGTCATGGACAAATGTATATTCAATGGCCCAAGAATAAGGTCCCCCTGTCAAGCCAGCTGACTACCAAATGTAATGTCAAAATGCATGATTGTGATTGAAATCACAGAACAAAGGACAAACAAATAGCCAACAATTGTAAACAAATTTTGACATTTCATTTGGTTTTTAAAATTTGCAGGAACACCTTGTTATTGCGCCATGGTAAATTCTAACAATTTCTATCATTGCAGATTGATGCTGATAACTATCAAAACGATAAAGTGCTTGTGGATCTACGCCAGAAACGCAATTATACTTACGAAGATGAGGTAAAGGAACCCCTGTAAAAATGCCAAAAACACATAATCTATTTATAAAAAACGACATTTTTAGATTACATGTTCGGAAAAATGTTTGCCCGATTATGCCAATAAATTGAAGTCGTTCTTTACTGAACATTTGCACACAGATGAGGAAATTCGTTTGGTGTTGGACGGCTCTGGATACTTCGATGTTCGAGAGTAAGTATTTTGAGCTGTGGAGGCATTTAAAAATATAGTTTATACCGATGTCTTAAAAAACAACAGCAGTTCAGGTGATAATACATAATGAGTTTGGCTTAATGGAATAGCATATTTAGTGAAATATTATTAAGGGATGTCAGAGGCGCACTCTAATCCTGCCATTGTTTTCCTTCATAATTTGACATTAATATGCAATGCTACGATGACAAGCTGTTTATGTATCATTACCTTATGCATAATTAATTTCTTTCCAGACATGCTGGATAAATGCAAATAAATGGTCTGTTTCAGAACTGCAAGAATGTAAAAGTTTTTACTACGATAACCTAACCGATTTTCCCCTAATGATATCGAAAAAATTGCAAAACTAGTAGATTCTTGTAGGAATTCTGGAAGAGAGCAAAATATATATTTTATGGAAAAAGTAATTGAAAAAATTTTAAACTTTTCCAGTGACAAAGAAAATTGGATTCGCATTGCAGTTAGCAAAGGTGACCTAATAATAATTCCTGCTGGAATTTATCATCGTTTTACTTTGGATGCTAACGTATGTTTTACCAAATCATTCGATTAAACATTCTTAATAATTTTTTTATGAAACCATATTTTAGAATTATGTAAAAGCTAAGCGTTACTTTGTTGGTGAGCCCGTTTGGTTGCCTTACAACCGTCCAGCCGATGATATGGATTGTCGCAAAGAATATTTAAAACACCAGTCGGAAGCATTTGCACATTTAAACAAAGTTTAAATCAAATTTTAAAATTTATGTTTATTACATAATGTTGTTAATAAAAATATCTTGTAAACAATACTAATACGTGTCTACTCATGGGACAACTAATTCTGGGTAGCCTCATTTTAAATAACAATATCCAATCAAACTTAAGTTAATTGTAAACAGATCCCCATCTCTGAATTCTGTAAATACAATGAATATATATTTTGACAAAGAGATAATGTCAAGCGTATATGTAATTTTAAAAAAAAAAATCAATCAATGCTTTCCTAATTCTACCATGTTATATATATATGGTACCAAGATGTAGAGGGTGAGATATATACGCATGGTACCAAGATGTAGAGGGTGATATAACAAAAAAAAACTGCAACAAAGTCAAACGCCATAATTTTTATTTTTTTTTAATTCTATTGAATGAAAGCAAAACTTGTCGGAAATAGCATCAAATTTTAGAATAAGTTTAGATTTGTTCGAATTGGTCACCTTTGGCACGAAATATGGCCAATGAAACCGTCACAAGCTGCCCGAATGTTGCTCTGCGGTATTTTGGCCCATTCCCGGCGAAGCGCTTGCTTGAGGAGATCGACACTTTGGTATTTTTTAGTACCAGCCTTGCTTTCCAAAATACCCCAGGCACAATGGTCCAACGGATTGGTATCCGGAGATTTTGGTGACCATTGTGCGCTGGAAATGAAGCGAGGAACCTCATTTTGTAACCACTCTTGGGTGGCGCGTGCTGAGTCCTCTTAGAATGTCCAAGGTCTGCGGCCAAAATGATTGCGTGCCCAAGGCTTTAATACACCCTCCAGAACATTTTCTGATGCCACGTTCGATTAATACGAGCGGAGAGCGACCATCGGCTGTAATGGCGGCCCATATCATCACCATGGCCGGCGCTTGAGTTCTGGTAGACAACCGAAGGTGCACATTTTCTGCTGGCAAGTAAACACGATCATTTTTTTTTTTTGTTTACAAACTGCTGGACAACGAATGTTTTCTCATCGGAGAAAACCAAATTCATCAGTTCACCACTTTCGGCCGAGCGAAGCAACCCTTTAGCTCTTTTGAGTCTAGTTTCTTCCTGTTGGGGTGTAAGTTCTTGCACTTTTTGGAATTTCAATGGCTTTACAAAGAGCTCATTTTTCAATATTTGCAGAATGGAATATTGCGACATGTTCAGCTCACGAGCCATTTTTCGGCCACTGCGACGCGTGGCCATTTCTGCTGATGTTGCTGTTTTCTTCCGTCCACTTCCTTAACATATGTCGGGCTACGCTACCAGTATCACGGTAACGAGCGATGGCACGAGACCCAAAAGATTTACTCACATTTAAATGCTGGAGTGCTCTAACAATAGCCTCTTGTGGTTTTCCAGTCAAATATAAAGAAATTCAAGCGTGATAGTGTTATCACGCTTGAATTCCATCACAAATAACTTTTTTTCTGGAAAATTCTCACCAAAATACTTTTGAACGCTTGTAAACAATATAATGAGCTGTAACTGGAATAATTTAAACAGCTGTCGGACCAGTGGCTAAGAAATGACAGCAGTCTGAAGTTAGTTGCAGTTTTTTCATTTCACCCTGTATATTATATAAAAATAAATGCATCCATATTATTTTTCTATTTTTCCGTTACATATGTTTTCAAATTTATATAAATTTTGGAGAATTAAAAAGTATTAATAAATGGTCTCTTCCTGAACTGCAAGAGTATAAATATGTTTACTACAATAACCGATAATAATAAAAAATTGCAAAACTAGTAGATTTTTGCAGGGTCTGGAACAGAGCACTTTTGTATAAAATTAAAGTATCGATAAAAATAAAATGTTGATAGTCGTATCGATGTTTTGCCAGCTTTAACCGTATACGAAAATGACAACACTGTCTTACAGCTGAGAAATTTTGTTTATGTTATGATTAAAACTTTTGTTTACATTCAAAAATCAACAGAATTTTTTCGATTTATTGGCTTTTGCTGGCAGTTTATAACATTTTGTTTTCTCCTCCTTAAAACGTGAGGTAAATATAAACAATTGATGAGTTATGTTTTATTTTTGCAAAAGTAAATATACACTTTTCGGTCAATTCAATTTGCCGGTACAAGAATGACCTTTGTCAATGACACAGCGTCAGCTGGGGGTGTCGTTTTGATAGTGATAGGACAGCAGCAACGATTTCAGCAACACAGGCAGTGAGGCAGTGTAAGTTTGTCAATTGAAGTGTTTGGGGGACGTTACAGAGCAATAAGAAGATTCTTGATTTTTTCGGGTAGAAGGTGTGATAACGATATTGAGATTTTTATTAATAATAAAATATATATTAGGTATAAATAGCAATAAACATTTTCTGTGGTATATCTTATACAGAAAAATGTCCCTAGCAACGGAAACTGTAGCCACAACTGTGTACGAGGGCCAGAAGCCAGGCACCAGTGGATTACGCAAAAAGGTTGACCAGGAATAGCTTGAAAATTCAATGTAGAATTTGAAATACATATATTGTTTGTCTTTAGGTTAAAGTATTTACCCAGGCAAACTATACGGAAAACTTTGTCCAATGTATTTTGGATGCTAATGGAGATGCCCTTAAAGGCTCCACGTTAGTGGTTGGTGGTGATGGCCGTTTCTATTGCAAAGAGGCTGCCGAATTAATTATACGCATGTGTGCTGCCAATGGGGTGAGAGGAAAACCAAATACAGCAAAATGATTCCTATATTAATTTAATTGAATTGATCTTAAATAGGTTGGTAAATTATTGGTAGGTCAAAATGGCATACTATCAACCCCTGCTGTATCAAGTTTGATACGTCATCACAAGGCATTGGGTAAGTGGTACTAAACTAAATTGAGTATTGTTTAGTTTTTCTAATCTCTGTTTGTCTTACAAGTACTTTAGAAGACAATAGAATTTGTTCTTATCACATTTGTGCATTTTCAATTCATATCATGTTTCACCAACCTGATGTCCGTATTACATGCCTCAGTCATGATCTTTATTTACATTCGCAAGTCAAGTGAAAGATAAGTTTGTTTATTGCTAAAATGCAGTTATTTCGACGTACAAACATGGGATAGTGTCTTATCACTTAGTAGTGCCCCCTATCATTGGCGTAACTGTCTGTTGTTAATAGTGAAGGTCAGCAACATTTTAAATAAATGTTCGATAAACATACAATGTAAGGAAAATGCATTGCGAACAGTAAAAGTTGAACTTTTTTTAAAAAGCGTATGCTAAGTTTTGTAGAAAAAAATTAAAAATGGTACAGAAATGACAACTAGAAAAAATGTTGTTCGACAATGATTTGCATTTTTTAATATTCTAATTTGCAAATCATTATACAAATCATTTTCTTAGTTAGTTTTTTGGACAACAGTTATCACTCTGAAGATAGTATTAAACGCATGTTTTGACTAAAAACATATTTATTTTCTATTAATGGTCCAATATTGTCCATTTCGTATCGGACAAACACAAAAATTGCCAGTATTTTTTGCCATTTCCTTTCCCCTTACCACTGTCTCTCTCCTACATACAGAGACTTGGCACAAGTAAACTTGTCTAATATAAATTCGGACCATAAAAAATACTTGGTCTGTTTCAGAAATGCAAGAATGTAAAAGTTTTTACTACGATAGCCGATTTTGCCTTTATGTTATCGGAGAATATTGCAAAACTAGTAGATTTTTTCAGGTTCTGGAAGTGAGAAATATCATGTGAACTAAAGTAAACTGAAATGAGACCCAAATAACAATTACTTCCTTTTTTTCACCAGGTGGCATTGTCCTGACTGCATCTCACAATCCTGGTGGCCCCGAAAACGATTTCGGCATCAAGTTTAATTGTGAAAATGGTGGCCCAGCTCCCGACGCTTTTACAAATAAAATCTATCAACTTTCAACTGCCATCAAAGAGTACAAAATTGTCAAAGGTCTGCCGGTGGATATTACCAAAGTCGGTACTACCACACACACCGTTAACAATCAACCATTTGTTGTTGAAGTTATCGATTCAGTGGCCAATTATGTTAATCACATGAAGGAGATTTTCGATTTTGCCAAACTCAAGGATTATGTTAGCGGCAAAACGTCGGGAAAACCATTGAAAATGCGTATCGATTCTTTGAATGGTGTCACCGGATCCTATGTAAGAGAGATCTTCTTAAATTGTTTGGGTGCCAGTGAACAGTGTGTGGTGCACACAACTCCGTTGCCTGACTTTGGTGGTTTACATCCGGATCCAAACTTGACATACGCCAAGGATTTGGTAGATGCCGTGGCAAATGGAGATTATGATATTGGTGCTGCCTTTGATGGTGATGGTGTAAGAAAACATTGTTTTTATTAAAATTAACCATGATGTTATATACGTTTTCCATTTTCAGGATCGTAATATGATAATTGGCCATAAGGCTTTCTTTGTTACCCCCAGCGATTCTTTGGCTGTTATTGCCCATTACTTGGAGTGTATTCCTTATTTCCAAAAGAATGGTATTCAAGGTTTTGCCAGAAGTATGCCAACTGCCTCGGCTGTCGATTTGGTGGGCAAAAAGTTGGGCAAGGAGGTATTTGAAGTACCCACTGGCTGGAAATATTTTGGTAACCTAATGGATGCCGGTCGTTTGTGTCTGTGTGGCGAAGAAAGTTTCGGTACAGGCTCAAACCATATACGTGAAAAGGATGGCATTTGGGCTGTTTTGGCCTGGTTATCCATTATGCAACACACCGGCAAGGGTATTGAAGATATTTTGAAGAATCATTGGTCGGTCTACGGCCGTAACTATTTCACCCGTTACGATTATGAAGAGTGTGAATTGGATCCATGCAATGAAATGATGGCAACGATGGAGAAAACTATTACCGATCCCTCTTTTGTGGGTAAGGAATTCTCCAGTGGTGGCAAGAGCTACAAAGTCAAAGTTGCCGATAACTTCGCCTACACTGATCCCGTTGATAAGTCCGTGGCCACCAAACAGGGCTTGCGCATTGTCTTTGAGGATGGCAGTCGTATTGTTATGCGTTTAAGTGGAACTGGCAGCAGTGGTGCTACTGTGCGGTACGTTTAATTGAAAACCCGTATTTTCGTTAAGATATTCAAATCTAATTAAATTTTGTTTGTGATTTCAGATTGTATATTGATTCCTATGAAAAGGATAATGTTTTAGGACAAGCCAGTGTAATGTTGAAACCCTTGATTGATATTGCCTTGGAAATATCACAATTGCCTAAATTCACCGGTCGCAATGCCCCCACCGTTATTACATAAATTTGTCTATGTTCGGTCAGGAACACACCAACAAGCAACTACCTCATATTTAGTAGAGGTATATGTTGATTATTTTTCTTTGAATTTAAACCGCGGCCCAAATGTTTTTGGTTGTAAAATTAATTTTATTGTTATAATGCATTTGTTTTAGTAGACTATTAAATATATTTAATAAACAAAATACATATAAATTTAAAAAATGTGTAAAAATTAACTCTTAACAGCTAAACCTAAATATTCATACTGATTTAATATGATCACAGGTAAACGCTCAGTCAGTGTGGAACGTGGTAGATGTGACAAACGCACAAACATTTCCAAAAAATGTAATGTTGTAATGGCCTCTGGGCATAATTCATGTTTAGCGCTACATTTTTAGTCGGAATAAAAAAATGGAAGTTTGGGTAAAAAATATTTTAAATAGGAGAATATCTCGGAACTTACCTCAAATTCGTTTCAACCAAGACCGAAACAAATTGACATAGATATGTTATGAACATAGTTTTCACATCTTTATGAAACTGTTGTAAAATCGTTAGCAAGCCAACTATGAGCGGAACTCCATCCAATGCATCTTTATTCACTTTTGGTAGAAGACTTTGAATTTGCATTGAATATTGTAAGCGATTGGTAACGTTGTGTAGGACAAATAAGGAGAAGAATAGTGGTATATTATGAGAGTTTTTGCACAAAACAAATATTTCTTCCAGCGGCTCATAGGATCCTGTATACATAAGGTAATCTTTTAGTTCCACCAGCATTGTATTGTCTTTGAATTTTTGTTGCATATCTTTATTCTCCAATTCATTTAGTAATGATCTGAAATTGTACAAGAAGAGGAAATAGATATGTAAGATGTTAAATAAAACAAAGTTTCTAAAAATTATGATGAATTCCGATCTTTACGGAACTGTTATATATTTTTGGGAATATTTTTTTTTTATAGACTGCGAGATTTTTTTAGATATATTAATCGCGGATATTTTAAGATATATTTTATACAGTCGAGGAATTTAAAAAAAATAATATTTTTTTAAACCAGTAAGAAAAAGTCAAATGTCGGGCGGGGCCGACTATATAATACCCAACACTACTATGCATATTTAGTGGAGCTCCCGTAACAAAATAATTTATTTGAAGTAGATCATCCCTATCAACATTTGGCTTTACAGTTACAGTTTGGTTTTAAAAGGAACTAATACATGGGCGGCATATCCAATTCTGAATCCATTTTCACTAAATTTGACGGAGACATTTTAATCTTTTATACCAAATAACATTGCTATAGAGAGCATGATATCACTTCGAGAAGGATTATATTAAAAATATATATATCGGAGCCGAGTTCCACAAAATGGAAACGTACGTCCCGAAATTCACTCCATTCTGGCAGATATTAGCCATTATTTGCACAATAAACCTGAAATCGGATTAAGGATATATATGGGAGCTACACTGGTGGTCAAAACTAAAGCAACTAAAATTACAAGGAGAATGAATGCCCTGTAACTTTTTCAAAAATTAAGAAAATGAGAAAATTTGGTTTTTACTGTGATATTTATCGCTTTTTGCTTCCTTCGACAATTTCGCTTGTCATAAATCCTTTTTGAGAAGTTTTTTACAACAGTATGTGTTTATCTATTCGTTTTTTTAAGTACTGCCCAAAAAAATTTTAAAACTGGCTAAAAGCAAATACAGTACCTGAATAAAACAGCAAATTATCAGTGACTATCAAAACAACATATCACAGAAAATGATTTCCGAGAAATAATTCATAAATATTTATGTGATTTCATAATTATTTCTGTATACTAAGTCAGTTTTTTGAAACTGGATCAGTAGTAACAGTCTATAACGGATGAAGGCCGTGAAAAACTTCAGCCTGTACTGATCCACAAATTGTGAGAGAAATAAAAAACAACTATTTAAGAGTTCAACTGGATTGGAGAGAGAGAGAGCAATCATTGGATATAAGCTCGAGATCAGTGCGTAGACGAGTAGTGGCAGCTGGTCTGCATGCCCGTAAGACATCAAAAAACCATTTATATCTGAAAAAATCAAAAAGGCTTTCGGAAACGATAATATTAAGTGGAATCAAGCTCAATGGAAAAACATTATTTCTGGGATGAGTCTACGTTTAATATTAAAGGCTCAGACGTGAAAAATTTTACGGTGAGAAGGCCAAAAAATTAAGGACTCAAGCCGCAGTGTTGCAAAGGTACAATGAAGCATGAGGGAGGGTCAAAAATGGGGTGGCGCTGTTTTTCTTTCTATGGACTTGGGCCTATCCATAAAATAAAGGAAGTTGTGGATCGGTTTGTTTACAAAGATGTGTTGGACATCACGTTGTTCCCTTGCGCTGAGTAAAATATTCTGCTGATTTGGGTGTTTCAGCATGACAAGGATCCCAAACTTGTCAAATATTGGTTGCGGCAGTCAAAAATTCATGTTTTGTTGTGGCCGGCACAATCACCTGACCTAAACTCCTTAGAAAACCTTTGGAGTATCGTAGATAGGAAGATCAAGAGAGATTCGGAAATAAATAAGCACAACATTTTCTAAAGAATTTGGGGTGCCTGGGAAGGCACACCCAAGGATCAAATTGAGCGTGTTATAGATTCAATGCCTCGTAGATTTGCAGCTGCTATCAAAAATAATGGTTATGCTATCGACTACTAGCCAAAATTTAATTATTTTAAAATAAAAAATCAAAAGTTGCTTTAGTTTTGACCAAGCAAAAATTGGGTCATTTTAGTGTTCCACATATTATTTTTCGTTCAAAATTATTTTTGTATTATTATTTTTAGTTTCATAAAAGTGAATTAAACCCCTCATTTAAAACTGGAAAAATAATTACGATTTGTTTATTTTTGTAAAAGTTACAGGACATTTATTGTCTTTGCGATTTAAGTTGCTTTAGTTTTGGCCACCAGTGTATATCCAAATCTTAGTCGTTTTCGATTAACTTTGGCAAAGGTATTTCCGAGCTCTATAAGATATCTGGTACGATAAGATATCTGGTACGCATGTGAGGGACTTAAAACCCCAAATCGGATGAAACATATATATATATATGGGAGCTATAGCTATATCTGAACAGATTTTCTTCAAATTTGATGTACCTGCTTCTAAATTGAATTCGGTGGGATGTACCAAAATTCAGGTCATTTGGACTGATATTGGCTGTTTGGTGGACAATTAACCCGAAATCGGTTGAAGATTTATATGGGAGCTTTATCCAAATCTGATGCGATTATCACGAATTTCAATAGGGTTTGTCCTTGTCCAAATATTGTTTGGAAAATTCCAGCTCAATCGGATAATACATGCGACCTGAATTTTGTTCACAAGAATACATGGACAAACGGACTTACATGCATATATCGACTCAGAAAGTGATTCTATGAAGATCCTCAAAAGTAACTATGGGTCTATCTCGCTTCCTTCTCCGTGTTACAAACAAATGAAGAAAGACATTACCACTATGTGTTGTAGGGTATAAAAACAAAGGAGATTTTTGAAAACCATAGATTTTCAGAAAATATTTTTAGCAAATAATCCACAATTTTTTGCTTATTTAAAACATTTCGTTTTAAAATATTTGACACTATAAGACTCCATCACAGAGTTGCATTTTTCTAGTTTCTTGGAAGTTGGCATCGTATTAGTATACTAAATTTTCAGACTTTCAAAGTCGTATATATTATATAAGTTTTTTCTTTTTCAGAAAGAATAATAGGAAAATGTATACCTTTTACACCAAAAGTCATCAAAAACTTTCATTTTGAAGTAAACCTAGGAGGAGGTTAGTAAAACCATTGCCCAATGTGGTCCCACATTCATTTTTTTCTGTCCAAAACTTTTTCAACGTCTCCATATGTAAACCCGAGAAACAGCGACCTCAATATCAAATTACTGAATTTCGGTTCTATCCTTCTTCCAATACCACATTTAGTAACATTTACTACGCATATTCAAAACAATCTACATCTCTCCATTGTAGACACCCACATTGATCCAAAATGAGTAACATTTAGTTCTTTTCGACCAATTATGGTACGAATTTGCAAAATAACCAGCAGATCTCAACACCAGATAAAAACAGAGGCCTGAATATCAAACTTCGGGATTCCAGCTCTTTACATTCACTCAATACCCAATATAGTAATATTTAGTACTTTTCGTATAATTTAAGTACTCATTTGATAATCCGTTCCATATCTCAATCTCAGACACCGAAAGTTATCGCAATTTAAAGTTATACATATTCAGCTCTATCCCTCCATCCAGTACCAGAAACACCCTTTCAACCACAGACACCAACAGTGACATCCGTATCAATTTTCAGGATCTCAGGTCTATTCATTCATCCAATACAGAACACATAGAACCACCTCCATATCTGAATCCCAGATACCAACAGAGATCTCAGCTCTATACCTTCATCCAATACACAATTTAGTACCATTTAGTGTTTTTCGTACAAATATAGGACGCATTTCCAAACAACCGTCAAATCTCAATCACAGATACCATCAGTAATATAAATATCAAATTTGAGAATTTTATCTCTATACCTCCATCCAATACCAAATATAGTACAATTCAGTACTTTTCGTACAATTATTGTACATATTTCCAAAACCAACTCCATGTCTTAACCACAGACACTAACATATATCTCAAATTTTGGCACTTTTCGTACAAGTATATGACACATTTTCGAACCACCGCCATATCCTCGGATTTTATAATTTTTTTGGTTATTCAAAACGTTGGCTTTTTGTGGGGGAGATACCAGAAGGAAATCGGATTATCCTTTCTCTCTCTGTGCAGTAAAATATTTTTGTGAATATTTCGACATTTTTTGGGGGAGGTACCAGAAGGATTGCCCATCTCTAATAACACAGATTTTAAGTTGATTAGGAAAAGATTTTAATTTGTTTATGATTTTCATTTCTGAAAATAACATTTCACCTTTGTAGAATTTTACATAGTCTATTGAGTATTAAAAACATATTATTAGCAAATAATCCCTTACCTGTTAAATGTCTCCAATGCCGATTCCAAATTCTTTGCATTTACTTTACTCTTACTTTTCAATTCAAATGCCAATTGTTTTCTCAGTATTTGTTTGTGGCCCAAATCCAATATCCAATCCACCATAGTGGGCCACACCTTAAGCCATCTTTGATGATATGCTGCATAATATTTAAGAGGATTAGTTGTGTATGCGCCGGGAAATTGTTTCGATTCCAGTTCCAGCGTCAATTGAGCCAAAGTTGAAGACCACATTTGATCATTTTCAATGTTATGTTGAAGTTTTTCGATATTCTTTTTTAAATCGGCCACAAACATATAGGTGTACAAACGATCCAATCCCACCAAACCAGCTGGCCCAATTGCTTCGCGCATTTTACAAAAGAAACGTGAATCCAAAACTTCTTTATGTGGCGACTTTTTGTCATACCATGTCGCTTTCAATTCCACAAAAATGGTATTGCGCGGATCCGTACACAGAAGTATTTCATTGGCTAAACGTCCTATGAAGTTGTTGGATTTTGTTGTATCGCCTTGCAATGGTGGAAATGTTGGTATAGGTATAGTGGTGGACTGGTATTGAGATTGCCAATCTTGCACTTTATTGCGTAAAAATGCATTACACTCCCTTTCAACATTGTAGTTGATGACGCGTGTCAATTCCTGTTGTAATATTTTCAAGCCATGCACATTCAAATAGTCTTGAATGTATTCAAATGACCTGCGATAGCCATCCATGATTTTGGCCAATTGGTCTAATTTTGTTTCCAATTCTAAGGTTGGGGGATTCTTTTGCTTACCGCCACTGCCGCTGGGTGTAAAAATTAAACCCACATTTAAGGCATTGGCCAGATGTTTAACCAATTCTTTGCGTATACCATCTTCCAGTAGTTGTTTGGGGTCCAATTCAATTACACCAACCAACGTTTTTTTCATCATAAGTATACCCTCGGTGAACACCGATATAGAATGTGTTAATTTAGCCACAGTATAACGATCTTCAAATTGGGCATACTCTTTTAATTTGTCTTTTTCCAAACGGGTGGGTAGCTCTTTGAGAACGTCCGTTTGTAATTGAATGATGCGGGCCATTAAATTAAACATTGACTCTGGTATTATTTGTAGTACTTTCCGCATATAATTGGCCAATTCTGTACTGTAGTAGTTGGAAACGGATACTAAATCTTCGGATTTTGCCTGATTTATACGCATCAGTGGAATTTCCAAAGCACTGGCCAATTTCAAAAACGTAGCTCTAAGTCGTATAACAGATTTAGGTTGTCTCTTGATGGCATCTTGCATAATTGCAGTGAAATCGCGGTCTATTAAGCGCCAAGCATAGCTAAGATCACTTATCAATTGTATATTGATGAGGATATCTTCTTTCACATTGATGATCTGGAAGTGTTAAATTGTATAAATTGATTTTAATTTTTCAGTTTTGTGAGATCACTGCACAACTCCTTTCACTCACCTGAGTCATTCTTGTTAAATATTCCCGAGTTTCCATCAGATACTGCTTAACTTGCATGTTCGATTGCAGATTATGAAACTCTTGCACCTCCTCCAAGGCTTGTATCAACTGTATCAGAGTCCTACCGGAAATATTTACGTTGTCCGAATTTAAATTTTCAATCTCTTTGGCTATATCATCAAACCACAATTTTAATTGTGGATTACTTTCGATTTTCGATAGCGGCCGAGATCCTGAAAATGCCTCCGCCAACTCTTTTACCCGATCCAAAGCTTCCTTCTTAAAATCACTCCATCTGTTGGATTTTTCTTGCATTAAACTACGTAAAATCTCTTTAACTTCCAGTTCTAATTGGGAGCAATTGAGCAATAGTTTAAAAAGATCCAATTCATTGTAGCCCAACTCGGTTCGTACCAATTTTATGATTTGCTCCATTTTTTGTGTAACAGGACCCCTGGAAATTTCATAAATTGTCTTGGAGGCATGTGTGAAATACCATCTCAACAAAACATTGCACTGACGTATGAGATTTATGATTTTTGAAATATTTTGCAGTACAAAGAAGTCTGTTAATATTCCATCACGTAATATCTCCTGTGATTGTTTTAGCACCTTCTCCATTTTCTCTTTGCGCAACAGACAAAAACCCTTTATGGCTGTCGTTTCAACGATAGACAACGCAGCCTTTGCCGCTTTGAACTGATCCCAAGCATCAACTAAATTTACAGTTATGCCCATGTAAATTGAGACAACCCAATTGTCGGAAAAGAACTTATCTACAATTTCACGCATTTGTGCCACTTGGGAGTGCAGTATTTTTGGTGAGAAATATAAACAAACATATAGCATGGCGGCCTGTGTTGACAAGGCGGTAGATCGATGATCGGGATGTGGAAATATACTCAATTGATTGTAAATATCATCGCAACGCAAACGTCCAATAACCATATCAATAAAATTCTCATCAAATTTAAAACGGGCAAAATATGATTCGGGATAATTTGAAATGCCATCTTTGGAGGTTTTATTGTTGGTTTGATTGTTTGCTTTTGGTGAAATGTAGCCAGTGGAACGAAGCAGCATGCACACATCATCGATATTACTGTCGCTGTGTGATTTCGAACCACTATAACGATAGTATGATATTAAAAGACGCTCCCTCACCGCACCCGGTATGTGAAAGTCAACGATAAGAAGTATTACGCCGAATATATACAGAGCTTCACACTATTTCAAATGAAAGTAAAGAAATATATATTGTTAAACATTCAGGTGATCAGAAAAAAATTCTTACATACCATCAATTGCTTTCCTTCTTCATCTTGCAATACCGTTTCCAATGTTTGCTGAATGTAATAGCCTCGATTTAATTCATCAATGAATTGTTGCAAATCTTTGGCATATTGATGTGTACTTTCAAAGGCTAAATAAAATCGTGTCAATATTTCCAAATAGTTTTCTCGTATTTCTTCATCTAAGTCCTGTAGAAGGGGATCCTGTTCAATTTTCTGGTCTTGTGCTTCAGCAATTTTCAGATAACTGAAATCCATTATTACTTCGGCATATTTTTGCTGATCTGCTTTAGACTCTAGCCTAAGAAAAACAATATAAAAACCAGTAAAATAGTATCAGTCGCTTTTACCGACAGATGTATACCCACAGCCTTGAGTTATGATTATTCAAACTGTTGACCCTTCCGAAGCAGTTGGCCAATATTGACCAATTCGAATCTGACCTAATACCGATATAAATATTACAACGTGCCAGATTTGGACTATATCGACTTCCTCTTTTACAAATTTTTCTTATGTGCAAATTTTAGGAAAATGTGAAAATATACGCGAGGTAACAGATATAGCGGACCGAAGCATTCCATTTTCATACTTTATCTAATACAGAAGAAAATATTAGTATGGACAAAATTTTAAGAAAATCAAACATTTATACCCAATTTTATGCAAAATCATAGTTAGTAGTTATATATCACCTTCACAACAGATCTTGTGTTAAAAAAAATGTTGACCCTTTGTTGGGGAGGTATCAGAAGGAATGATCCGATCTCTGCCATCTTTATTACAGATCTTGTTTTGACGGAAGTATTGAGATGTGGCAAGTCTGAATGGAATCCGATGTTAATTTCGTATTTTATTAGCTACATGAATTTTCAAAATTTTGATCCATTGTGGGAGAGGTACCAGAAGTAGTGAACCGATATATTCCATCTTCACACCAGACCTTGGGTTAATAAAAATATTGAGATGTGTCTAATTTGAATATAATCGGACACATACATCACTTTTTATAAGAGTTATAATTATTCAAAATTTTGACCCTTTGTTGGGAAAGTACTGGATGGAGTGGACCGATATTGATGCAAATATTAGGATTTGTTGACAAATGTTGACATTTTGCGTGGGAGGTACCAGAAGTAGTGGACCGATATTGCCCTTCTCCGAAATCGATCTAAGTTTGACAATAATATTACCATGTACCATGTTTGGATTAAATCGGATACTCCCTTCGAGAGTTATCGTGCGCACCATCCAGACAGACAGACAGACAGACGGACGGACCGACATCGCAAGGTCGACTCCAGATGTCGTGAAACGGATTTGGTCCCAAGAAACCTAGATATCCGTATCAATTGATAAATACACTCTCTAGCCATATGGCTGAGGGTATAATTAATGTAGTTTTAAAACTTTGCCTGTAAATGTGTTTGTTTCTCTTTGGAAGTTTTTTGATTTAAAAGGAAATCAGGAAATCAAATAAGGTATAGGGATTTCAGTTTCAGTATATATAAAAATTATTATTCCATTTCTATCTACTCGAACTATTCATTCAACAGTGAAAAGGTGAGGATTGAAAATTCCGCAGCATAGTCAACAGTTTTCAGTTTTTCCATAATAACGATCGGAGTTTCATCATTCCTCCACAATATAAAAGCTGAATAGTAACCAACTATTTACTAATTTTAAAATTTTCGGTTTTTCCAGTATAAACTTCATGCCCTTTTCCATCTTCTGATTTAGGGTATACAAATATAATTGGGATAGTATTTCCAACTTTCCTTTTCGTTTCAACTCACCTAAATATTTCTGGAATGTAATCCTTCAAGCGGAGCACTTCTGCAATAATGGAATTACCCATAGAAACAATGGCAAGTAAGTTTTGTCCACAGGCATTGTTTTCTGCCAAAAACTCTGCCATCGTGTTGCGTTTTTAAATGATGCACCTCCGACAGCTCCAACTGGATATGAATAGGGATTCAAGAAGGACGATGCTATATGACCACTCTGGAGCAAAAAAGTCATAAACAGAAACAGAAAACGGAATAAAGATAAGGAATCAAAACAGAAACAAACACACACCCTTGAAACACACCAACAACGTTTAGAGTTCCTTAGATCGAAAATGTTTTTGACCGGCATCCAGTTGTTTTTTGAACCAGCTGTTTATCTTTTTGTGAAGACGTATGCCGAATGTCAAATGTGTTGCATATAAATTCGACCTGCTACACTCTGTAAATAAATTCAACAATTTTCGATATGTTTTATTATTTATTTATTTATTTACTTATTTATTAATCCATTTGTAATAAAAAGGCCTAATAGACCGTACATAATTATTACATAGCCTACCTTAAACCTGAGTTAAAAAACAATTCAATAATAAAAGTAAATAAATTCACAATTTCATGATATATAGATACGTACATACATTATACTACTATATAAAGTACTTGCTATTATTATTATTGGCTCCCCAGCCATAAAAAATTGAATACAAGGTAATTAATGTCCATGTTAACAATAACTTTTAGATTAGATAGCAAAAAAAATCAAGTTATAAAACGGCTACATATAACAACAACAATTAGGATGCAAGATGTTGAAGCAGTTTTAATCGAAAAACATTGTTAGAATGTGAAAAAACTCTTAATTCCTGGGGTAATGTGTTCCAACATCGCACGACCCGCACCAGAAACGATCGTGTATAATCATTTCTAAAGATCCTAGGAATAAAAATTTGAGGGTTTCTTGTTGAATGAAAAAATGTGAAACTCATCCTCAAAGAAACTGGTCTACCACTTCTTATTATATTATAAAAGGATACGAGATTACGACAGGTAATTAATTCATTAAATGAACATCCGATAAACCGTTTCACATATTCAGATATATGTTCTCTTCCACGGACCGGTTTTATTATTAAATGGGATATTTAAAATGTATATTTATATAAATAGAATTTAAAATTTTTATTTAGATTGAAATAATTCTTTGAGATGAAAAATCTGTGCCTTTATGACGTAGAGGTCTAAAAAGATCCGTCCTATCAAATATCTTCAAACGTTGTTTGGGACATTCTTCTCCGGGCCAACAAAACCTTGTGTGTTTATATTAAAGCTTTCTTCCGCATTAACCTTCTTTATAAGGATATATGTAAAATATATGCAATATAATTGTCCACAGTAAAAGTAAAATAAACATTAACTAAACTTACGATTAATTTATTTTTATTTGGTAGATGGACCCGGGTATTTTGGTAATCGAGTCATCACTTCGGATTGTATTCTATAAACTAGTCCCGCAGCTCATTTAAAGAATTTGTTCAGTCTGATTGCGTTTTCCTCATATCTCATTCGTAAACAACGGAACACACCGGGATTTTTCTTTCTGTTTATTTTTTATCGGACATTCCTTTTTGGCCTTCAAATTCGTTTCGTAGGGAACGTTTTTTTTTTTGATTTCCCATTACCAGTGTCTCAATGTTCTCAACGTTCCATATGGTAGGCAGGTCAGGTCATTTTGTATATCGAACAACCACCGGTAACGAGTAGAATCCACCTGTAAATCTTTAAAATAATGTTTTCCATTGACCAACACTAGCCGCCATCAATTGATGGTTTCTTAATCGACTATGACGGCCAAACATCAAATCATTATTCGAATAACTGGGAAATGATAACCGACACCACCTCCACGAATTTATGTATGTCCAACACCTTGGTACTGCCTTCAGGTCCAGCACCATACACAAGTCGAAAACTTAATGAGCAGGAAAATCAGCCCAAAGAAGAGGATAATTCATAAAACAAGGTACATGTCCGTATATATCCGTTCCGTTGGCGGAAATTCTGTAACCGGTTTACAGAGCATATAGCGAAACTAGTTTGTTCTTCTTCTTCTTTAATTTTGTTTACTTGCGGCTATCATCTATTGCTGGGGGGTGGGCGGTGAATCTAACGCCCATAATCAGAAAGAATCGTGATAATTTATTAAGATTAGCATGGACTTTGTGTTTTATTAACTACACAATAGGAGTAAACGTTAATTTGACTAACCACGATTAGACTTTCATTAACAATCAAGTCCAAGAGACTGACTAAATTGGCAAATATGTATAACGACTACCAACAACTTGTGGTTAAGAAAGAGGACAAAATTCTTGTAATTAAATTCAATAATCCGAAAAAGAAGAATTGTGTAAATCAGCAAGCGTACAAGGAAATAGGTCGTATACTACGGGATGTTGCCAAAGATGATTCCGTGACTATGGTGGTATTCACAGGAGTGGGTGATTTCTATACAGCTGGAAATGATTTGTCAAAAGTAGATGATATTAGCGACATGGATGCCTACGTTGAGGCATCGACATCAAATTTCAAAAATATGGTTTATGCCTACATTGAATGTCCAAAGATCATTGTATCTTTGGTAAATGGACCTTGCATTGGCATTGGTACAACATTAGCTGGGCTATCGGATTTATTGTGGTGTTCGGAAACAGTAAGTACATGAACAATATTGACAGGTACACTTTTAATAAAATATCTTTGTATCTGGTAGTTGTCGACGTATAGGATTAAAAAACTAAACACCGATATATTTTCCCTTTCATCCTTGCTACTACTATGTGATCCATCTGTATATGTATACATTTCCTTATGGTAAAACACCAAGTCTAACCACATCCCTTTATGGTAACCACTCCAAATGCTTAACAAATTCATGTGGTAAATAATTGTATGTCCCAATATTCAACCACGATGTTCGAAAAATACTGAAAAGTGGTTAAAATTTGATAGGAACCTTCCAAGCAAGAAATGGCCAAAGTTGGTCTAGGAATCGGTACATCCTTCATGTAAAGATACCAACACCTCAAAACCAATTATATTTAATTTAAAATAATATTGCAGAAATTTCTCTGTATGCCTTGAGTCCATGATTGGTATATAGCTTTTTTCTTAATTTCAATTAAGTTTCATTAATGGATCAAGATTGGGGCTTTTCGACCACCATTTTAACTTAATTTTACATGTTCAAGATGTGTAATTGTTCCGGAAATGTAAAATAGTTCTTTTTTAATATTGATACCTTCACATTTTTAACTTCTTTTCTTCTTTTTGCAGGCCTACTTTACTTGTCCTTTCGTGAAATTGGGAATTGTACCCGAAGCTGGTTCTTCATATCTATTCCCATATCTCATGGGACGTTCGAAAGCAACAGAAATGCTTTTATTTGGCGAAAAGATGTCAGCTGAAGAAGCCCTCGCATTTAACTTTGCTTCTCGTGTCTATAAGCCATCTGAAGTCGATACTGTCATATGGCCAAAACTACGTGAATATTCTGAATTACCCGCAGAATCGTTGCAAATTTCAAAGCGTTTGATGCGTTCGCCAGAAAAAGAACATTTAGTTAAGGCCATTGATGCAGAGTGTGAAGAACTGCGTAAACGTTTCCACAGTGAAGAATTTATAAACGCTATTATACAATTTTCGATGCGTAAATCTAAATTGTAAATTATGTCTATTATTATTGTATTTTATGTGAGTATCTGTGAATTTAAGCATTTTTAAAATGGTTTAAAATAAAGACTATTTTAAGTTAATGAAACACATGTCGCTATTATTTGTTCTATACGTTAAATCTATGTTTGGGATATAGTAATACAATGTAATATTCCACAACATTAAATGTATTTCGATATAATGAACTGTACTAAAAATGAGGAAAGCGTGCTGAAGGAAACAACTTTTATGTTCTTACTTAATTCTTTTTATAGAAACAACAATAATGGGATTAAGCTAGACCATTTTGCAACAACAAAATACTACTACAAGCCAACACTGTTCTTAATTCTTTTCTTTGATTATATTCCCCGAACTCAACGAAAGCTAACATTTTAAAGACGAAAATGGAATGCGCAACTAGAAATATCCAAACGCTAATTATATTGTTACTTGCGATTATACATTTTTGTTATATATCTCAAGAGCGTTACACCCACAGGATCACAACAAACTTCTCTAAACAGGATCACAAAACTTCTCTGGCTGAATGGCTGGTGCGCACGATAACTCTCATCAACGCAAGATCTGTTATGAAGATAGTAGAGATCGACCATTCAATCTGGTTCTTTCCCCAAAAAGAGTAGAAGTTTTTAATAACTAAAACGAAAATAAAATCTGAAAAAACCATCCGGTTCTCTTCAAGTTACACAAATCACAATAATTTTATTAACCCAAGGTCTGGTGTGAAGATGGGATATATCGGTCCACTTCTTCTGGTACCTCCCTCGCAAAGGGTATCCATGAAGCTCATAAAACGCAAAGTTTATACTCGATTCCATTTCGACTCTGTACATCTCAATATTTCCATGAAGACAAGATCTGTTATAAAGATGGTACAGATCGAACCATATCTTCTGGTACCTCCCGCACATAGGGTTCAAGATTTTGAAAAAAAAGCTCAAAGAAAGCGAAATAAACATCCAACATTTTTCAAATTTCACACATACGAACATTTTTGTTAACACAAGATCTGTTGAGCAGATGATATATATCTGCGAACCCCTTCTGGTACCTCACCCACAATAAGGGTCACAATTTTCAAAATTTTTATCTATCATAACTTGCGAAACATGTCAGCGATTATTTACAACTTGCTACATTTACATATTTCTCTCAGCCAGAAACCTGGGATGAATTTGAAATTTATGATTTCGCATAAAATTGGATTTTTCGATTTTCTTGAATTTCTTTCTAATGCCAATACTTTTATCTGTATTCGATGAGGTATGAAAATGGAATACTTCGGTCGACCATATATGGTAACTCACGCACACTTTTAACATTTCTTAAGTAGTCGATATAGTCGAAACCTGGCCCGACGCAATATGTATATCATATTTATTTAAGTCCGAAACGAAATGGACAATATTTGCCCATTCCTTCGGAATCTTGAAGTCTAAAAATATATGTTAATAATCGAACATTACCTAAGGGGACACATTTGTGGCAAAACCAACTGAGCATTACATCCACAGGATTACAAGAAACTCCTCACATTCTCACAATTCTTTTTTTAAATTTAAAATTGAGAACTGAGATCCCAATACCTCGATCTTCTAAATCGTATTAACACGCATTTTACATATGTCCTTTTACAGAAACAGATATTTGAAGATTAGCTATGCGAACGATCGATCAGAGTTCAATATTCAAAATACATAAGAATTTTGGATTTGGCGATTTATCAGTCAGTTTTGCATATTTCTATGATAGGAAGAACAGCTATTTTTGTAACTAATGTTATAAATATATCAAAGAATTGTGTTAATCTATGGACTTTTGATAATACACATTTGTGCAATATTTTGTGATTAACATCGAAAAATTTCAGTTGCAAAATTTGTTTCAACGAAAAATAATGAAAACGGCAAATTTTGTAGAAATAATTGTTGAAAAATACTAATTATTAAATTTAATAATCCCACCAGACGGAACTGCCTTAATAGGATAGCTTATGGCGAAATTGAAAGGGCTTTGCGATACGCATGTGATGACCCTGAAATAACCCTAGTAGTTTTCACTGGGGTCGGTGAATATTATTCGGCCGGAAATGATTTAAAACCCAATGGCAATATTGACGACATAGATGCCTACATAAGAGAATCCAATGAAATATTCATTAATATGATGAAAGCTTTTATTGAATGTACAAAAGTGATTGTCTCATTGGTTAATGGACCTTGTATAGGTGTGGCTGCCACGCTGGCAGGAATTTCGGATGTGGTATGGTGTTCTGAAAAGGCATGTATTCCTTGAAAAATCAATGCATTTGCTTTACATATAACAAAATATTTCCAATCTTGTAGGCATATTTTCACTGTCCCTTTGTTCGCCTTGGCATTGTTCCAGAATCTTGTTCAACATATTTGTTTTCATTTTTGATCGGGAGATCAAAAGCCAGCGAATTGTTGTTGATGGGCGAAAAGCTTCTACCCACTGATGCTTATAAATATGGTTTAGTTACACGAACATTTAATTCGAATGAAATGGACACAGTCGTTTGGCCCAAGTTAAGAGAATATTCACAATTACCCAAACATTCATTGCTTGCCACTAAAGCCTTTATCAGGCTCTCCATAAGGAATGTGAAGAGTTATATTCTCGGTTTTATAGTGAAGAGTTCATTAACGCCGTTGCACAATTTGCAGCTAGAAAATCTAAAATCTAATCTGATCCGTTTGCTTGGGGTCTGATTGGACATTGTATGTTTACATATGTATAAAAATATTTATGTTAATCTTATCGCCAATAATGACTAGTTTTTCTAAATACTTGTATTTTATAATGTATACGAAAAAAAAACTGTGAAATCCATCATAATTGCAATTTGTTAATTAATAATCTATAATACAATATGCCACTCATCGACGTAACTCTTTCAGGACCGTTGGTATCAATTTAATGCGTCAAAAATGTTGTAATTTGAACCTACCTTACAGATACATAACTAAAATTAAATGGTAAAGAAGTGAACGAAGATTTTCTTAAAAAGGATTTGTGATAAATGTTAAATACAATCCAACTATAAGGTGTTTTATGGTCTTGAAAGGGAATGGGCATGTATCAGTTTTTAATCCTTAATTAATGGCGAGTAAAAGTTTCGGAGGTTTCACGTGGTCATAAATTCCAAGACGGAGTATGCAACAATACACAAGTTGTGCGTACATTTCACTGGATGTCGTAGAGGAAATATGAAAAACCTATTAATTTCAAATTATTGCCTTATAACCACCCCTTTATGATATGTCATGCCATTATGCCAAGCCAAGGTTAAGTTTCAAATCTCTGATTGCCTTCGAAGTCATCAAAAATCACATAGGAACCCAAGAAAGAGCGTATTGAAGCAAATATGCTGAATCTGCTATTTCGAGGCAGAGTCCTATGGGTAACATGTCCCGTGAGGTAGACTCTTAATCTGTTAGCCAGTCTGGCGATAATCCATTGACATCTCGATCAATGAAATCACCATTATACCGCTAAGGATGTGAACCTGATTGATAGAATTGTAAGTATTCCCAAAAATTAATAGATTTTGGGTGAGATTTTCATGGCTTGTTTGAGTCTATCGCACATTATGTTATTGAGGTTGGAAGTTGATGTTACTCATATTCTGGAATGTTGTTGTTACTCAAGCTGGGAGTCTGTAGTCCTTTGGTCTTCCCTCCTTCCTACTAAAAATCCCCGAAATTGTCGTTGAAGTCAGTATTCTACTACCTCTAGCCGCGATCAGCACTGCTCATTATGCCTACATGAAAGCTAAATCTGTTGAAACAGCGCAGCACGACGTCGTAGATCATATCGACATCATAGAACTTAAACAATGGCGCAGCCAATCCTTTGGACATTTTGCGGCTTTAGGTCTCATTGATTACATAACTTCGAAGTCAGGACTAGCAACAACCCACCTTTTAACAAAACATAATTTTAATGAGCTAGTTAGAAAATCCGGGTCCAAAAAGTCAATAATTCGACTATATAGTTTTTTCCATGATCTCATTTTTTCTTAATTATACTTTTTTAATAAGGACATTTTGAAATGTCCTTTTGTTGGAGTAGTTCACTCATCATGTAAACTTATTATGTTAGCTTTAAAGAAAACTAGCTTTCATTTCATATTATGTATATATATATTTTTATTTGGTTTTTTATTATTATTTTTATTGAATCATATTGTTTAGTATATAGTATTCGCTTTAATTGGCCTAAAGGCTTTGTATACTTGTCATGGTACAAATAAATAAATAACATCCGATAGGATATGGATAGGTATTTTTATGAACTTTACTTATATTGTATATATCGGGTAAGTGGATCTGGGTCTAGCACGGGTCTTAAACCCGGACTTTGGGGTTAAAAATCTGTAAGAATACCAATCACTAGAAAAAAAATTCAAAAAAATTTGAAGAGTATTTACTAAAGTAGATTTAAGCCGATTTTTCTTTTATATCGAAAAAAAAAATTGCAAAACTAGTATATTCTTGGAGGTTTTGGAATAGAGAAAATGTTTTACCGCCAGAGGTAGAATCCGTTACAGACTCTTAATACCAAGTTTGGAACAATTCCATATAGAATGAGTTAAAAATCATCATAATATGGATTGAATACGGGGATGTAATGTCTTGAAATTCAAACCCAAAACTTGTGGTTGAAATCGCCACAAGTCACTGTTAAATGAGGGCCTGAACTTCAATAAACTCGGTTAGATATTTTATATGTAAATGCGCTATAAATCACAAAACGTTATATCGAATTTGACACCAAACGTTGTATATGAATTTGGTTTTGCTGCAACTTTGTAATAATTGTACCATGATTGACAATTTTAAAACGAACTCGATTTACCGGATTGAAAGGCTTTTTCAAATGCAGTCAAGCCTATTGCAAAGACAGTGGGCCGCTTCAAAGCGCCATAATTATTGCTCATCACTGATCGTGAAGGTTTTTGAGGCAACCGATGGGAAAAATCGATAACTATATTTTAAGAAAATCGACCGTGTGTTTTCGATTAGTAACAAATCGATTGGGCTATCCCTACTCGGTTTTTTGATGTCGGTCGCAACGTGAAAATTTAAAGATTTCCGCATAATTCTTATGAAAAATCTATAGAAGAAAACTACGAATTAACTGGAAATTATTAGGCCACTAAACGACCACTAATTGATGTGGAACCAGAACGTTCTAAACAAAGAGTTGAATCAAGTTTTAGGTTGTGTTTTTCGTTGACGAAAGGCTAAGTCGAAACGTAGCCAAAAGCTAGAAAAATTGCAACAAACAAAACAAGCAAGAATTTTGAATATTTAGCTACATTCCTTTGCATGACATTTGTGTGAAGTGGATCAGTAGTTGTATCGTCCAGCCATTCGTAGGCTACTTGTAGTAATTGACAGCGGTTCCATATACTCCAACAGGAATTGTCTTCCGATTCGCTTTTTTTTGTTGGGTTTGCATGTGTGTGTGTGTTTGTGTGCCGTTTAAATAAATCACATTAACGCGGTGCGGTGTATGGTGGTTTGAAGAAAAACAGAGGAAATATTTTGCTGATACCACCGCTTACACACACGCTGACACAAAAGAAAGTTGACCAGCAGCCGGGGCCAGTGGGACAACTATCCATTTTTCATCGAGTCAAGAGTACATCAAAGGGTGTTTCCAGCAACAAAGACACAACCTATAAAAAGGAACAGCAAGACGGCAACAAAAAATTAACCTATGACATGTTTTTAGATCATATTCTGAAAACGGAAACAGCAAATAGGTAAGAAGTAAATTATTTTACTTAGAGAATTTAGATGATGACACGCAATTTATTTTTCTTTTATTCAAGCGTATGTATTATGTTACAACACTAGTGCTACTTCTCCTTACTGCTAACCCACACTCCGCACAGTAGAGGGTTCAACTAGTTGCTCCCGATCAGTGTATGTTTGATTATCCTTGCCCAGAATACGTGTGTATAGCCGGCATTTTTGTTTAGAACACTTTTGATGTGTCCACATTAGCTGTTAGTTCCTTGGCAATTCCGGGCATTTTTGCACTAAATGTGTCATCGATTTTGAGAAACTTTTAACAACTGTTGTGTTTTATTTATATACATATGTATGTTTGTTCGTATATACATGACTGTATGTAGCACATATGTGTTGTAGTATATCTTCGATTAATTGTTCTTGTGCTTGCCTTAGTTGTTTAGAAAATTTTACCAATGGTCAGAATTTAGACCCACTTTTGATATCCCATTAAAAAATGTACGTTTCTTTGTTTAATAGCATTTAAGAAACCTGGGGTCTCACTACTCGATATCAGTGATTGGTTCTTTGTAATGAAACAATTTGATATGACCCAACAAGATATATTTAAACAAATTTTACTGTATTCTTAGCAAGAGGAATAAACAAATGCAATGCAAATTGTTGCAGGTGAGATGATGGTTTCCTGGAGAAGCATCCCATCCCATATATTTTTAATCATTCGAAAATAAATTGGGTTATAAATATTTAGTCAAATTAGAAGGTATGTGGGAAAAGCAGTGGCAACCTTAGGTTGAAAATGCCCTGTCAGGTACATTACCAAATAGTGGATACACAGGGATTGGGAAAGGTCTTAATACCTGACCTTTCCCAATTCCTTTGTATCTACCATTCCTTAGATCGAAAAAGGATTTGTTTCTTTTACCTTTCACAAAAAAGGAACTTGTGATCTGTCTTTGGCGTCAAATGTTTTTTGGGTACCTAAAACCTTCTGAAAAATCTAAAAATTAAAAAAAAACACGACCGTTCCGATTATTTAATCGCCCTAAGGCCATACCGTGTCTTTAAAGTTAAAAAGAGACAAAGCCGTTAATCATATCATTTTTTTTTAATTCTTGTGGTGAGATTCAGTATTCAAGATCTAATAGTACTCATGGAACACCCAGAAATGTAGCTTAACTTCAAATGGACTAGGAAAATACAACTTATTATGTGATTATAGAACACACGATTTCACACTTTTTACACCCTCAGCCATATGGCTAAGGAGGGTATATATCATTTGAAACAGCCGAAACGTTCCTCATCGATATAACGATTTTAGACCCTAGGTCTCTTTGGAGCAGATACCCGCCCACAGAGGGTCAAAATATTAAATATGCAAGAAGCTCATAAAACACGAAATTAACGTCCGATTCCATTCAGACTAGGCACATCTCAATACCTCCATCAACACAAGATCTGTTATAAAGATGGTTGAGATTGGACCATTCCGTCTGGCATGGTACAATGAATACAAGGTAGGCTAACTTTGAAAAAATTGCAAGTATAGAGGTCTACCTGTTTGGCTTGTAATGTCAGAATTACTATCAAAACATTAAAAAAGCAAACAACTTGTTGCATTGATTTTGAATAAATAATTTAAAACCGCGAAAACTGAATGAAAGGTCAAAATTTCTTTTCAAAATCATGTTCTATATATATATCTCTTATGCTTTATTTCGCGACAAAAATTGTAGTTTTTGTCGATGCATACGTCGCAATAAGCATTTTGAAAACACCCGAATTTGAATATTTTCTGAACAATTATTTTTATTATTGAAAAGAATACACACACATAAACAAATGAAGTTGACATATTAAACCAGAAACAGGATCGCGGCAACTTCCTCTAGAATAAAATCTTTGAGCGTATTTTTTTAAGAACACATGTTTTTTGGATTCCAAATTCCAAATAAACCCGCGTAAAAATAGATTTTTTATCCTGGATTTTATAAGGCACGGCACGTGAATATTTGTCCTCTATATCGGCTGATGCGGACCCCTAAATCTCCGTATTCTGTAAAAAAAAACACGTATTGAATCGGGTTTTGGTTCTGTAATTTCTACTCTAGCACATACGAAGATATAATGCATTTCTTCTAACATTTGAGCATGATGGTACACCCACGATTCTTGATGGATCGTACAGAAACAGCACAGTGTAATATTTAATGGGAAAACTATACAGGGTGAGATAAAAAAACTGCAACAAAGTCAATCGCCATAATTTTTATATTTTTTCTTTTTTTATAATTAAATTTTAAAAGCAAAAAATGTCGAAAATTGCATAAAATTTTAGAATAAGTTTAGATTTGTTCGAATTGGTCACCTTTGGCACGAAGTATGGCCTTCAAAGGCCACGCTGCCCAAATGTTGCTCTGCGTTATTTTGGCCCATTCCCGGCGAAGCGCTTGCTTGAGATGCAATAGTCCAACGGATTGGTATCCGGAGATTTTGGTGGCCATTGTGCGCTGGAAATGAAGCGAGGAACTTCATTTTATAACCAATTCTTGGGTGGTGCGTGCTGAGTGCAATGGCGCTGAGTCCTGTTGGAATGTCCAAGGTCTGCGTCCAAAATGTTTGCGTGCCCAAGGCTTTAATACACCCTCCAGAATATGTTTGCGATAATATTCGGCATTTATTCTGATTCCACGGTCGATTAGTACGAGCACACCATCATCATGGTCCTCGCTTGAGTTGTGGTGGCCAATCGAAGGTGCACATTTTTAGCTGACTTCTTTGGCAAGTAAACACGATCATTTTGTTTGTTTATAAACTGCTGGACAACGAATGTTTTCTCATTGGAGAAAACTAAATTCGGCAGTTCACCACTTTCGGCCAAGCGAAGCAACTCTTTAGCTTTTTTGAGCATATTTTCTTTCTCTTGCGGTGAAAGTTCTTGCACTTTTTGAAATTTCGATGGCTTTACCCCGAGCTCATTTTTCAATATTTGTCAATGGGTTTCGATCAAGTCGCTTCTTTACTTTTCGAACCATTTCTGCTGATGTTGCTGTTTTCTTTCGTACGAGACACAAAAGATTTATTCACATTTAAATGCTGGAATGCTCTAACGATAGCCACTTGTGGTTTTCCAGTCAAATATAAAGAAATCACACTGTCACGCTTGAATTCCATCACGAATAACTTTTTTCTGGGAAATTCTCACCAAAATGCTTTTGTACGCTTGTAAAAAATGTTATGAGCTGTAACTGCAGTTTTTTCATCTCACCCTGTATAGTCGTTAAATTTTTTCTAAATTTGCAAAATGTAGCATACCTTATGAATATGTATAATTTGATTTCAATTTGAAAGGGATGTTGCTTTCTTCCATGATTTCCTAGGGATTGCTTGAAGTGTTGCAAGATTTATAAAGGCTGTACCGGCTAGAACCCAATTTTTAATTTTAAATAAAACACAGATTTTTCGAAAACATCGTGAGACTTTACTAAATCTTAAAGTATACGGAATTAGGTTATACATGGAACAAGATATAGTGCAGATGGCAGCCGAAGCTATGCTCTCAAATCCACGATCTTTTAATAAAATGTTCAATGATTTGCATAAATGCTGCGTTATTTCATTAATGCAGCGTGTAATTTCCTCTTTTATGACATAGGTAAAAAACAACAGATACCGTTATATAGGCGCTATAGGAAAATGTGGACCTAACTGACAATAACATGCCACACACCTGTAAATACCAAATTCAATAAAGTTCCTAAGACAAATTAAAATCTAGAACTCATAACGAACTACAAGAGCAAAATTCATGGTACAATAAAATAGATAAGCTTCCTAAAAATACAGCCCTGAGACTATCCCCGCCTCCTGTCAGAATTATTCAAAATTAGACGCAACAAAACGTTTTCATTGGTTTTAAAATCATTGGTCTTAAAATATTGGTTGTAAAATGTTTTTTTATTTTTCAAAACAATAAATTCACAAAACTTTTGGAAAATATAAACAAAATATTAAAAACATGTAAATATCCGATGTTCTTTGGTTGATTTGAATGGAGTAACGGCCCATGCGTATTTGGGTACTACGGTGAGAAGGTGGTTAATTTTGTACAAAATATTGGCATGATAAGCGATACAAATAAAAAACTATTTGCAGCCAATCTTGCATTATTGTACCAAACATCTAAAAAAATTAAATAACCCCATTTTTATTTTTTCAGAATTTGATGACAATTTCGTCCTAAATAAACGGAACAAATTCTCAAATTTTTGGACGCTTCTAGAACAGCAGCAAAGTTGGCACCAGTTGCGCATTTAAATCTCAAGTATGGCGCAGTATACGCAGCCGGTTGTTGGACAGCAACAACAACAACAGCAATCATCGCCACCCCAACAACATCAGCAGCAACAGACCCAAACTACAACACCTCAAGCTCCAAACAACACTAATAATAACAATATGAACAATAACAACAACAACAACAATCCAGCTCCTACTACACCGACCGCAGCAGCAGCACCGTCAGTTGTAGCAGCAACAACAAACAATAACAACAATCAAACTCAAACTATTGCTGTACAACAACCTGTTGCCAATGCCGGTAATAACAACTATGCCACAGCACAAAATGTGGTACCTGGTGTTGTAGGCGTTGCCGGTGCTCCAGTCTATAACCCGCAATTGCAAGCGGCCAATTTGTATGTTCCTGCTGCTGCTCATCACGGTATGCCGGGTCATCATCATCCCCATCCTCAACCTGGTGCCATGTACTCAACCATGTTGCCAGCTCCCCTATCAAGTAATGTTTTTGTAAATAATGTCACTGCCAATGTAAATTTACACGGTTGGCCTCATACCGCAGTACCCCATGGTGGTTGGATGCATGCAGCAGGTGCTCCACATTACATACATGGAGAAATTCCTCCCGAACAGGTACACGTCCATATTCCATAATGATTTTGATTATTTTTATGATTTATTTTTCTTTTCTTCCGTTTTAAAAGGGTGGCCCTGTTTTGCAGCCAATGGCGATGCCCATTGCTTTGCCACCAACTGGTCAAAATATGAATACACACTCTGGGGGCGGTGGTGGAGGTCGTGGTAATCGACGTGGACGTGGTGGCCGGGGTGGTGGCAGTGGCTCCCGTCGCAATGACTATAACTCACAGCGTCATACACCCCAACAACAACAGCATCACCATCATCAACAACAACAGCAGCATGAAGGTAGTCCTGCTCCCCAAGGATCCAGTGTTCAAAATACAAATCAGCAGTCTCAAGAACAACAAACCATTGAGTCCCAACAAATAATGTCCAGCATACCCTATGCCCCGGCTCATCCTCATGGTCCTTATGCGGCTGCTCAATATCCATACGGTTATCCCGCATACTTTGCACCCCAGCAACCAATGATCCATGCCGGTCAAAATCCAGCTGCACAACAAGCCGCCGGTACTTCTCTTTTCTTCTCGCCAATGCCAGTCTATAATAACCCACACATTTATAATTACGGCTATTTTATACCGCCCGTTGTTAATCAAGCGGAATACCCGTACATGCCTGCCGAAGAAGTCATGGCTGGTCAAGTGGTTGATGAACGTCAAGGTGGCGGTGAAACATCTGCCATGATCTGGCACCAACCACACATGTATCCTGGCGAAGAATATGCCATGAATCCGAACGAGATGCATTCAATTGGTGCAGATGACATCAATCAAAATTCCGGTTCGGCTAGTGAGACCCCCACAAGTATGTTAAGTCCTAACTATACTCCAATTTATGATCCACAAATGCATGAAATGCAACAACAAATGGGTGTCATGCAAATCTATGAAGATCCTCAAATGGGTCAAATGCAAGTGATACATTCTCAAGGGGGATCAGCAGCAGCTGGTGGTATTGGAACACAGGTAAGTTTTCAATTATTAAAACTCATTTTACAAATAACAAGGTCTGTCATTTTGTCATTAGATCGAAGATGATATATCTGAATGCGGTTCTCAGCGTTCAGCACCAATACACATAGTTCCAGCTGGTGCTATTATAGCATCAGCCCCAAATATGGTGGCCGCTCCACCTGCATTGCAGCAGCAACATCAACCGACGAATCAAATTAGCGAACAATTGTCTATGCATCAACAACAGCCACATTTGATTCCTGCCGCCGGTAGTGTAATTTCCATCGACCAAACAACGTCCACAAACCAACAACTGCCTTTGTCTAGCGGTAAGTCCTTGCTATTCTGTTTTTAAAATTGGCAGCATTTAATAGGTGTGTCTGGTTACCCTAAAGTTTGTAACAATTGTTACAAATTGTTACTGGAAGTCGTCTGTTAACCCAAAAGTTCTGCAAAAGAGAGCGGTTGGAGAGAGAAATTTTGACAGTTCTTTCAGTGAGAGTTTGCAAATTCTTGCTGGAAAAATTTCTTCTTGCAATCACTTGCAACTCTTCTTCTTCTCATTCATCGACATTCAATCAGATGTTTTCTATTGTTTGTTTATTTCTTTTTGTGCTTTCAATTTGAAAAGATTTTTTTGGAATTAGCAAGGCTAATAGTTTTTGGAGAACAACTTTACAAAATGTAAAAAACGTAAATGTTAATATGCAAAAAGAAAATAAACGACTATTCCCAACATTTTTATTTAAAAAACTTGTAAAATTAGTATTGCTTCCTTTGTTTTAATTCTCCTTATGGGGGACAAATTGGTTTGTTTTGACTAATCAGCTGATTAGTTGCAAGCTTCTGCTGGAATACCGTCTGTTTACTTATCACATTTTCCTTGCAAAAGAGAATAAAACTACCTTACTCTCTCAGAAAGAAGTTACTGGACAATTCCTGCTGGAAAAGTAACCAGACACACCTAATGTAAATTAGGTTTTCAAATGTTTCATAAAAAAATAGTACCAAAAGGAATTTGATGAGGGATTCAAATATTTATGAACGACTTTTCTAATGTTGCGTTTCCACTGCACTTGATTCGCTCTCTATTCGTTGTTTGACCCTTAACTATGAAAAAACTACCTAATTCTTCACACAAAATTTCCTGAGCGAACACTCATATTTGTACGTTGTTCAAATCAAATCACTCTCAGAACAACGAAAAAATATGTCCCATCCCTAACAAATGAGAGCATTTATCGAAAAAATAAATTATGACATTTAAAAATTAAAAATAGAAAAATTTGATGAAATTTTAAAAATTTTTGGGACGACTGAAAATTATGAATGAAAACTACAATGTTGAATGGCGTATGTACATTCAAACGAAAGTAAATTTTGTTTTCTCTCTCATTCGAGGTACGCATTTTGTCCACGAGTTAAAATTTCCACAGAAAACGCAAACAAAAGAGGCAACATTTTCAAAATGTTTCTATCGGCAGAAAAAATGTTTGACAAGTGTCTCTCCAGCAGAATTTAAAAATGGAAAAACACAAAAATGTGTTCAAAATGTCAACATTTACACAAAAAGTTGAAATCGTGAATGAAAATTGTAAAATTAATGATATAATAAATCTTTGGGAGGAAAACAATAATTTCTTATATTCATATTAGTGAGAATTTCATGAATTTTCGTATAAATTCCCATTAAAATCAACAAACAAAATTTTTGAAAAAAGGAATTATTTTACTATGAATTACGAATCGTGCCGTATGAACGGGTTAATTCGTGTACTTAATTCTGAGAGCGAACAACGTTGTTCGGCTTCCAATGGAAACATGCTATAAGAATTGAAAAATGTCAATGGAAAGTTGTTTCAAAGAAACCACACACTTCATAATTATCATTTATTTATCGATAATCTATAATCGATCAGCACTTTCATCTGTGACGAATGAAGCTAGCTTCGAAAGAAATAGAAAAAGGGACGAGATGAAAACTTTTTTATTAAATTAAAATAATCCCTTAAGATATTGGGAATGAATAATTGGACTTCCTAAAAGTTATTACACATATTAAGATTTGCTTTCTATTTTCAAATGTCAGGTGTTATAAAAAATGTATTTATTTTTAATGATTTTTGCGGATGATGCCATTATTGTGTTCCTCCGTTTCAACAACTCGCATAGATCTAAACGAAATATTTTCCAGAAAACTATGTTCGCTAGAAGAATGTTTCAGGTATTTTATGCACATGCATGCCTTGGGTTCTTTTTTTAATTTTGAGGATATCGCTCTATATTTACGCCTTCTTTTGTGCCATAGAAATTAAAAACAATTGAAAATTTAGATTCCTCTATATTTTTTTTCTATATATCCGATGCCTGGCTATATTTCCCTATCATGTTTGCGTGGTTTCGCCCGAAAGTGACTTTCGAACGGTTGAATGGTCATTTGGACATTTTTCACTCAAAAGTTATGGCCCATTTCACCCGCTGAATATTATCCGATGACCATTAAAAGTGGAAGGCTTCGCTGCCTAAAGTTCCACGTCGATTGGTCTATAATTGTAACCTGTGTTGTTGTCGTCCATTTCAACACCTAAGACTTTGTGAAAAAAGACTTCTTTGTGACTCAAACCAAAACGACATGAACATTTTCGTGAAGATTGGGCCATAATTCCGACCCTTAGTCTGACTATAAATTTACACGGTCAGACGTACGGACACACATAGCTAGGTGACATGGAGCTGTGTGCTACGTGGTGGGTCTGGGCCAATATTTCGAGGTGTTATAAACTATTTGTCCCAATCAAAATTATAACACACTCTTGTCAAATATAAAATAAGTATTCGACCATGATAAAAAAATAGCACATTTCAATATTTTTGCTTATTAGAGCGAATGCGAATATGGAAATATCGGTCCACTCTTTCTGGTACCTCTCACACAAAAGTTCAAAGATATCGATATAAATCAAACATATTACACTTATAAAGCGAGTCGAGTAGCTTTATAACTATGTTATTTAATATTTTAATTTAAAAAAAGTTAAAAAGTAGCAGTCGGTTTAGCCGACAGATGTATACCCTCTGCCAATGCTCGATTATTTAAATATATTTTGACTTGTGTTATGATGATTTAAATTGTTGACCCTCTATGGAGAAGGTTCCGAATGAATGGGAATTAAAATATTGGGATGGGCAAATTTGCAAGAAAATCGAACATTTATATTCGAGTTTATGCGAAATCATAAATTCCATATTCGTTGGGAGAAATATTCACATATATCAAGTTGTAAAAAATCGCTGATTTGTTTCGCAAGTTATGACAAATAAAAGTATTGAAAATTGTGACCCTTTGTGGGTGGGATACCGGAAGGGGTTCCCAGATATAAATCATCTTCACAACAGATCATGTGTTAGCAAAAATGTTTGTATGTGTGAGTGTTTTGTTTTTCAAATCTTGACCCAAGTAGGGGAGGTATCTGATGAAATGGTCCGATATCTTCCATCTTTGTAACAGATCTTGTGTTGATAGAAATATTGAGATGTGCCAAGTCTCAATGGAATTGAATGTAAATTTCGCGTTTTATGAGCTTTAAGGATATTCAAAATTTTGACATTTTGTGGGTGAGGTACCAGCCAGACAGACGGACATCGCTAGATCGACTCCAAATGTCCTGAAACGGATTTAGTCCAAACACCGTTATTTCGATGAGGCACATTTTGACCGTATCATTTTTTATACCCTCAGCCATATGGCTAGAGAGGGTATATGGCTAGAGTATATGGCTGATGGTATAAAAATCTAGGACTTGTGGTCTTATTTAAGGACTTTTTGTCCACTTTATAAAATCTTTACATGGAAAACGTCCAACGAAGTTCTCTGAAACTTTTAGGGCACCTCATATCATTTGGTCAAAGTACAAATACGGATTCAGATGTGACTATATCTAAAAAAAATTGTTTCCATCAACACAAAATTAAGCGTGTCATGGTCTTTTGAATTTTTTACATGGAAAAGTTTAATTTTTTGCTAGCTGGCCCCACCAAAACTGTTCGAGTGCGTCCCTCCTACATAAACTATGAAGCCAATAATTTAAAAATAGGTTAGAGGAGGTGCAGATAATGTATCATCCACCTCACTCGGACACCTTTGGGTCCATTGTGATCTTCCTGTGTTTAAAAGAGAATTAGAAACATTGGAGAGAAAACATAGAAAAGAGTTCTATTTTTATTCTGGTGCCAGAGCTAATACTACATGACAAAGGGATCCGTGTCTAAATGCACACTGAGATTATGAGACGAATGTTCACCCATAGTTCGCAGTCTTTCCCTGATAGAGGAGGACAGTGGCATAAAAGCATTCTATAGTTTCATTCGCTTTCTCATCCTCACACAGCCTGCAGTATTCAACGTTACAATTATCCCATTTGGACGTTACAATCATCCCTATTGTTATCCGTAACGTTGATTCATGCTTAATAAAGACTGAGCTCTACGCGAGGATATATCTAGTCAGATTTGTTTTGATGCCTTGCACAGTGGTTCGTTGTACCAGACCTCTTTTAAATCCTCCATGAGGAGTAGTTCTAATGCTCTATTGAAAATACAAAGAGGGCATTTTAACGTGTCGCGAATTCAAGGTCTGTTCATTGCGAGATTGGATATGCTTTCTCATTTCCTTCAATATTTCAATGACCAGGTACCCATCAAAGCCGGATAGTAGTGTGTAGATCTCCCAGGGCAGTTCTACACCTCAGGACTGCATCAGAATAGATTTTGGATGTTTCAATAGCTTTTGGAGCAGCTTGACTATCTACATAAATAGTCACCGGTTCAGTTATTTCATTCTCATAGCTCAATCTTTGCTTGAAAAACACTGGCCTTTCCATCCAACATGTAGGAGGAGAATGACCATTCCTAGTTGCCCACAGAAGTCTCCCACTCGCGTGCTTGCTTCCATCTTTGATCCGTCTTTATGTACCGGTAGACCGATTAGGTTGGCTTCTTTCCATTCGTCCCTGTTTGGAATCAGTGTCTCAATTCTGTCAAACCTCATGGTTGAAGACATGTAATCGCTGTTCCGTTCATGAGGGTTGACGTTTAAATCTTCAACACCAAGCTGGCATGACCCCGTCGGGTAGTGTGTAGCATATCCTGCTCTGACAGCCTTATCGCACTTCGGTACTGGTACTGCATACCATGTTCGACTGGAGCGATGTTTAACATTACGTTTAAGGCTGTTTGAGGTGTACTTTTTGATGCGCTTGTGATTAGAATTGAATCTGTTCGCTATATGCTTGGGAGCTACTTATCTTGAATTTTAATGCGTGCCACCTGA